AACTCAGCGGGGGCCCTCTCGAAGATGCCAGGTCAAACTGTGCTAAGTTCAGCACACCGAGGTCAAGGGGCCAGTTTCCTGTCTTGTCAGGGGGCCTGGAATTCCTTGCAGCGCACCTGGGTCACTTTAAATACTGCATACTCTGCCATGTTTAACTGAGCACAGCGAAATATTTAAGAAGTGTTATGCATTGTTTACAGCACCGGGCTGCTTTCTGAGCCTATAGCCACGTAAAGGAGACTCGTTGGGCTACTTCTTTTAGCACCATGAGTTAGCAGGGTTAGCTGTGTCCGTCTTGTTCTTATTTTCTCTACTGGTTTTCAAAAATGTGTTTAAAATGTTTATGCCACAATTTAGATGGAAACCTGACTCCTGTAAAAAATGTATGAGGCTTCACTCCCTGACAATGAAAGTTAAGAACTTTGTTTGTCATGTTCAAAACATTACATATTTATATGAATGCAATTTTGCAGCAACATTATTTTATATTAAGTCTGGATAATTCAAATGCCTCAATACAAAGACATTTTATAGGGACCTTTTCTAAAGTATAAAGTAGCTGGTATTGTAAGTCTGATATTGTATCAAGAAATATCCATCCATCCATTCATTCAACACAATACACCCACCCAGCCATCCATCCATCATCTGTACTGCTTATCAGTCGCAGCAGCCAATCCTAGCTGACAATGATTGAGAGGCAGGTTACACCCTGGACACGTAACCAGTCCATCAGAAGAATACTGCTGTTGCATTTTTTTTTTTTTTTTGCTATGTGAGCAGCACGAAACAAAATACTCCAATCAATGAATCCATCCAAGTATCTGTTCAGTACATAACCATTTCTTAAGCCTCAACTCGTCTTTATTGCCTCTTTGATTCTTGAATGTTTCAAACAAATGTGACACAACCTGGAAATCAGTGAGCTTCAATTTAGTTTTAGTTTTTCTTGGACAGAGGGGTATACACTATGCACAGGTATAGGACTGCTAAAGGGCCCTATAAATAAATATAAGTTAAGTTGCATTTATGCATTTACTACTTTGTAGTTTGGCCTTTTTGAAGCTAATGTACTTAAACGATTCTTGCTGTTCTGGGTTTGTACCCTCATGGTTGAGTGCACAGTGGTAGTTGCTTTGGATAAAACTGTCAGCTAAATAATATGTAATGTAATGTAATACTTCTTTTATTACAATTTAAAGTGATGACATCAACCACGGTGAGCACTATTTAATAGCAAAACTTTGTAAATTATGTTAATAACATTCAGTGTAGTTATTTATTTAAGCCTTTTTGCAACTGTAATATTCATCCAGTAATATTTCCAAACTGCCCCATGACAATTGATGCAAAATCTGCATCTGCATCAGAAACTTGAAAATAACAAATAAAAATGCAAAACTAAATATGCAAGAGTAGTATTACATGTCACTGTTTATTACATATGACATTTATCCTTTGCTGGACCGGTGGCTGCTTAAATGCTTTTTAAAATTAAAGGTCCAGTATTAGATTTAGGTGAAAGGGGTCTGTTGGGAGAATTTACTCATTAATAGTAGTGATGTTTTCACTAATGTGTATTTATCTAAATTGTATGAACTGTTGTTTTCTTTACTCTAGAATGGGACCTTTATATTTAAATACTTTATATTTACATTGGGATCAAGTCCCCTCTACGGAGGCTGCCGTGTTTTTACAGTAGCCCAGACTGGACAAACATGTCATTTTGAGTTTTTATGACAACTAAAGGCTACCACAGGGTTGCTTTCATGTTTGGAAGGGGAGGGTGAGGTGAGGGGCATGCAGCTGCAACATGCAACTTCACCACTAGATGCCACTAAATTCTACACACTGAACCTTTAAGAGTATCCCCACTTCTCCAGACACCACAACACCTCCGCTCCAACTTATTTTATAGACATATATGAGAGTGGTATCGATTTCTCATCTAACTCTCAGCAAGACAGTGAATAAACATGTATCTTAAAACGCTGACCTGTTCCTTTGGGTGAGAAACTAGATTCCTGAGAGCCAGGCCTTTGTTTGATTGACAGCTCAGTGGAGAGACTGCGAAACCTGCTTTCCTGTAGCAGTGACCTGCTCAGCTAAGTGGGTGGCTGTCTGTCTGACCAGTTAGTTGCCTCTCGGGCTGATGGTGTTATGACTCACTCAAGCTGACTTTCATGCTGATGGAGTTTGTGCACGCCTGCTCTTAAAGTTTGCATACACTGCTGTTTGACTGGCATGGTGTCTGACAGACAGTTTCTGACTTACAGGAGCTCACGTGTCCCGTGCCAATGGGACAGGGTCTGCAACAGGGTCCTGTGAGTTTTGACAGTGCTGCGTTGCTTGACTCTTTTCTCAAGGAGATCTGGCCCAAATCCAGTTAACATATACAGTGTAATATAGCTGCTTTATGCGATTTACAATTAGGAAAAGAGGGTAATGTCCACCTTTCATGTTACCATTCAACAAAACCGTTTTTTTAATACATTAACCAATTGCAGCTTTTTCCATTGACTTTGTCGCTTATATTTCATGATTTTGTTAAACGCTGCTTCTTGAAGATGTCAAGAGTCAAGGACCTTAAAATATGTATATAATAGTGTATGATTCTGTCTAGAAATTGCAAAGCAAAAGTGGACAGCGAGTGTGTCTGCTTGATATTAATATGTCACTGTGTGTGTGTGTGCATGTTGGCTCTCTGTGTGTGACTGACGAGGACTTTTCAGCTGGCGCCTCAACACATCTGTGCGCCGTCCAGAGGAAGGAGAGGAAATGCATCCTGGGAAGCCGAGAGATGAGATAAACACAACACAAAGTTGGTCTTTGTTTATGCAGCCACTGGCACAGCGAGCGGCTCTGAGCACTTTAAAATCATTTTACTCACACAACTAAGATTACACCTTATTTGCTCTAAATAAATGAGTTATACATCATATAAAAAGCTACAGGAGTAGATGCAGTACAAATGTTATAATACCTTGAAGAATCATGTTGATTCGTACAGTGTGAGGTAAAACGTGTTGTTGCTGAGACTTCTTGTTTCTTAGAAAGCAAAATGTTGGGTTTCTCAAATCCAAAATCAGCAGTTGTGGTGGTATTTTGGGCACTTGGGTCTAGGGTTAGCAAAATTTAATTTCAAGTTGGATTGAAAGGACATGAATAGTGTATGTGTTAAATTCAGTTGGTAAACTGTAAGGACTTCTGCTGCTCTGACTGCCAAATGTTTTGGCCCATTGCTTCAAGCCAACTGGTGGATAGAATCTACTGCCTGGATCTGAAACAAGCAGATTTCTCTTCCTCTTTCTTCCCCACAGTTCCTGGAAACACCCACAACTTTCTAAAAAGACATTTCACTCGAAAGTTTGATCTGCAGCTGAACCATATGTCCGCAACCATATGTCTGCGAAAAATGAAAACAAGTGTAATGTAAGACAATGTAAACAGAGGAGCAGAGTCAAGCCTGTAAGCTGAGGTTTGCAGAATTTAAGGTTAGTATATTCTGAGACACAAATACTTTACAGGATAGTTTTTTGATTGTTTGACATAGACTCTTTAATACAAGATTCAAAAAATAATTACACAAAACATTTGGTTTTATCCCAAAGTATTTTAATGATGATTCTGCCATGCACAATCCTGGCCAGCCAGGGTCCATTTATATGAATCTATTAACAAAAGCTGGGAAATGTTACATACACAATATTTACAAGGACATCAATAAAATGGAATGACACTGGAAATTGCCTTTATAAAATACAAAGCTTGAGTTATCATGCAGAAGCTATATTTTTGCTTGTTTGATTTGTATGGCTGATAATGTGTTAGAAACATAAATGAAAAAGGCAACAGTAGCAAAGCATTTCATATAGTGTCCAGCAATATTTACAACATTATTATGTACAGAAATATACAATCTGTATTTCACTGCCTGCTGTTGCTATATTACCACCAAGAGGAAAAGTGCTGCAGTGATGATCTATTTTGACCTTGATTCCCTCCACAAAAAGCCACTGGGATTTTACTTTTCTTTTGGATTAATGCAGAAAATTAGCTCTACGACAAAGGAAGGTTTATGATGTGGACATGTTTTGTTCAGCAGGATAATCATCACAAATGAACTAACCTCTGATGGCTGTAAACAAACAACACCACACATGACTCAAATCAACACTAAGCTTCCGACCGACAGCTTATCTATAATTTGTGTGTAGCTCTTCTACAAAAGCCTTTTGTTCTAGAATATTACTAATAGTTTGATGCAAACACTACATTGCTAAAAAGGTGAAGAAGCCACTGTTAATGACAATAAGACACTAATATGTAATTTGTGAAAATGTAAAAATGTCATGAGCTTATGTTACCCAGAGAACTTATTTTAGGGATCTAAACAAAAACCCAAAGAAATAAAAAAGGTCTGCTGTTGATGAAACTGCTGCAAAAAAGGCTCATTTATTTCCAGGCTTTAGGACTCACTCCTGCAGAAGTTGAAAGGTTGAAAAATTATTAAATTATTAAACAAAAGCGTGGCATAATTAATTATATGAACAATCTAATTTTAAAACAGCCCCACACAGGATGTGCATTGATTCGTGAAGAGATAAAATACATGGCCAATCATGAATATGGGAGAGTTTGATACCTAAGTTTGTGCACTAAAAAAATATTTTCCGTACAGGAGCTAGAAAGAGAAAACAATCCTACTAGAGCAAAGTAATCAACAGTATGGGAAAAAAAATCATGCTTGCAGACAGGGTAAAAAGATTTGCTGAGTTGGTAGTAAAACATACAGTAACTATTTAAAATTAATTCATAACAACAGATTTATGTATCTATTTATTTCTGACCTTCATTTGTTTATCAGATATCAACTTATCTGTGATTTTACTGAACATCTGGTTCGGCCCTGCTTAACCTTCACTATATGAAATGATGGGAGGCAGCTGGAGTGATGCTAAATATATAATATCATAATATTAAAGTGTTATAAAACATGATGTTATGATATCATGTCAGTAATGATGCATGGGAGCCTGATGTGATCATTATGGCCGTCTCTAAGAAGACGTAAGATGAAAGTCATCCGAGATCGTCACTCACCAAGAATTCTATCTTGTGCTATATTTGGAATCATGACCAAACTTATGAGGGAAGCCTTGATAAACGTCATGTTACACTTTTAGTGTCCGGGGATAAAAACGCTGACTTATTGACTGCAGGGCTGAATGTAATTACTGGTTGTACGACAGTAATGAGTGGGTTTGTTGCGTGTGAAGTGGCCATGTTCGACGGTGCTCTGCCCTGTGAGAGCGGTTTTTCAGATGACTGCAAACACTCTGAAGGCTTTTCCTCCTGTTGGGTTCACAAGGCTGGAAGAAGAGAGGAGAGAGAGCGGCATAATGTACGCAGGAGTTATTTCTCACAGGAGTCATATATCTTGATTTAAGTATTTGAATATTGAATAATATGATTTACAATGTAAAGCCACATTTCAAACTGAAACTTTTAGACCCAGGAACCAAATCAAGGAACTAAAAGGTTCATGCAGACTTTTCTTCGAGAACAATCCACGATGATGATGCTATGTAGACTGAGCAATATTTCAACAGTACAAATGAAGTAGATTCAAATGGAGCTGTTAATCATGATTAACTGCTTTTAAAATGAGTTACTACTGGCAAAGAGACACAAGCAGGTAACAAAGCATATTCCAAGTCCAAACTCAGGACTTATAGTAAGGAAACACATTTTACAAGTTTTTGTGGAGATCGACCAGCTGAAATGAAATTCCTGAGCAATAACCCATGTTCATTTCTGCAAGCACCACCCCGAAAGTTTGTGTTTTGTTCCTGCAAAGGTTCCTATAGTTCCTGTGGAAAGTTCCTGCCCCCCAGTACTCCACTGAGCAATATACTGTATTAACAAGACAGGAATTTTAATTTTTAGTCATTGTCCATCTCGCAAAATATATACTATAAAATACACATGATTATTCTCCATATAGTGAACGTATCGTGTAAATGTATGTCATAGTTTCATTCATACCTCTCTGAAGTGATGCCATTCGTGTAGCTGCCACTGTACTGCTTCCTTTTGTCCACTGGCATCACATCAAGGTAACCTCCAGACTCGTTCTGGATCACTCCAGCATGAATGGCTGCTCTGCAGATGCTTGATTTCTGGATGAAAACATGTTTCAAGAGTCAATAAAATAAATACATTTTCACTACAGAGATTTTGAAACACAGTGTAAATGATTTTGATAAAAACTTAAATCCATGTTTCAGGACTCCATAGTTGATTTTATTAATGACAAGTCAAAATGTCTGCAATGGAAAATACATGGCAGATCATTTTTTCACAATAGGAAAGTCTACATTAAAATAAACTAATTCAAGCTGCATTTAATTCAGGTTTTTAAATTCAAAATCTCTGATATTGAAAACTGATTTGACATGTAGCTTGTATACTATCACGCTGATGATGATGGTATACAAGCACTTTGTCATGTATGTTGTTAAAGACCCCTGTGCTTTGTTTATAATGGTGAATGAGTATGACTCACATCTGAGTAATACTTTGTCCCAACGACTCGTCCTCTATTGTCACGCAAACAGTTCCTGGGACAATACAACCTGAAGACAAAAAACAGAGGCGAGGTTAGGGCATAAGATATTTCCAGTATAATGTTGGATCTGAAGGTTATTCATAAATCTTAATCTTAATCTTAAAATCTGAATTACAGAGCATTTTCCTTGGATGTGTAGATATTATAGCTTCATCCTGCTTTGCTTAAAAGCAGAATAAAAGTACACTGCTAAAATTATCTGAGTAAAGGTTCAAGTTGAGGTGAGGTTAAAGAACCAACGGGTTTTTGGATTTAAAATAAATATCGGATGACAAAGCAAATCGTCACATACACACATAACTTCAAATATGGCAAATGTAAAAATCTAGCTGATGTACCTAAGCAGTGAGTTTTCAGTATATTATAAATATAATATATGCTCCAGCTGTTCTACATGCACATGTGTGTGTTAGTTACCTGGGACAATGTCGTGTAGGTTTCTTGAAAGGACAGAAAAGAGCCACAGTGGTGTCACATGTTACCGCCTTGACTGGGAGAAGAAAGACACAGCATAATGATTCTACTATATTTCTGTGTATGGATAACAACACATCTGTGCCTTTACAGTGAGAAGTGATTGTATGCACCTTACCAGGCACTGTCTCCACTTTGAAGGAATTTGCACTTCTGTTTTTCCTGTGAAACGAAAGAAAACAACATGAAGCGGTGCCCTGTGCTGAAAAGCCAGGGAGGAAACGGACCCGTATATATCTACACCGTATTAACGAAACACCTTTTTAAGAAAAAGAACTAAATACAGAGACTGATTCCTACCCAATTGATTGAATACCATTCTTGTATGATTTGGTGAACTGTTGTTTTCTGCCCAGTCGGGTCACATCCAGCCATCCTCCATCATCATCAATGACACCAGAGTGTAACGCAGCTCCACACACGCTGGACTGCTGCAGTAAAGGCAAGGACAGGAGTGTGAATGTACAACGTGTAGGAAACATCAAACACATCCCCATCACCACCTTCACCAATGACAGGGAACAATTCTGAAGGAGCTCTGCAGCATTAACACAGGCCAAGTAAACAGCTCATTCCAAACATCCAGGTTTACATCGGACACTGTACTGGTATATTAGATACAGAATGCTGCTAGTGATCATTTACCATGTCAAAATATCCAGTCCCAACTACTTTTCCAGGCCTGTGAAAGCAGCCAGGCGGACACTCGTACCTACAAACAGGAACGATAGGAAAGTCAACAATATTTTGAGAAAGGAGCTTTACACAAATAATATTGAGATGACTTTTCCATGCATTTTTCTAGAATGCAAAGATAATGCTGGCATATCCTGGACAATGATCAGTGAACAATGATGAGTCGTAGTGTCAGTCTGTTCATAAGCATTTACCTGTTACAGGTTGTTCCCTTGCACTGATCTCTCAGCTTGGTCTCACACTCAACCTGTTGGGCTAAAATAACAAACAGGAGCATTTCACAATCTCATCCTATGTCTCTAATAATTAAACACCTTCCTGTGACTGTCTCATTCAGAGATGCAGTATCATGGGAGCACTGCTTACACATCTGCTCTGTGCTGACAACCTGGTTTCTCTCTCGGTTATCGGCGGGTGTGGGGTCAGGTGACTGGGCCCTGGGTTCCGGCTCTCTATCCCTCACTGGTTCGGGTTCGGGTTCAATGTAGTTCTCCTCGATCTCAGGAGGCGGTCGTCTGTCCACACCTCCGTCTGAAAACGTGGATGCAATGTTAGCGAGAAATCTTGTCTTTATGTAGCAGCCCATTCTCTTTCCTTTAAACTGCCAGTGTCTCTGAAAAATTTGCTAAAGTGCAAATTATGTTATGGAGTTGATGTCATGGCAGAAAAACAACAATCTGACCTTAATTTACCTTTGTAGCAGAGGTTGTCCCTGCAGCCTCCAGCATAGCTGGCGGGACAGGCAGAGCAGGGAGTTCCATATTTATATGGAGCGTGACCCCACCAGTTACCCCTGAAAAATCAATCACAACATGGAGTTTGTCACAGTGCACAGGGCAGAACTTTGAAGTGACTGTTTTTATAAGTTGACACTACATTTAGCAGAAATCCTGATGTATGTAGGAGTACGAAAGTAAGAAAGTAAGTAAGAAATTGTAAGAACTCCATCAGTGAAACCGACATCATATCCTTCACAGCCTGTGTTACTTTTGCTGTTGATGAACCATGTTTCATTATTTGTTTGTGATCATGAAAAATCTCTTGTGGAGGCTTAACATTGATTCTTCGGTTCAACTGGTCTCTTCAGAAATCTTACAAAGAACTGATAAGTTGAAAATAATTTGTGGTAAACAATTAAATTGCTGATTTTAATCAGTTCTTCATTGATGTAAAAAGAATCAAGCATTCATAGAGAGCAATGTTCAATGTTTTAGTGAAGAGATGTGCTGTCTGAAGGAAGTGCTAAATGCATCTTATTGGAGCAAAAGTGTAAACTTACGGGGGAGAGTAGTTGCAGACCAGATAAACAGCTTTAGCCCAGATCATTCCCCACACATTCATGTTGTAACATACATTGATGGCACAGCCAATGCGATTACTAGTCGCCCACACCAACTGAAAGTGAAATACACAGAAAAATTGAAGCAGTCCAGTGGTTCTGTCATGTGTGGTGGAACTTGTATGGCGAGGGGTAAAAGAAGAAAGATCTATAAACCTGTATTAAAAACTAAGAATAGGTTGAAAGGGGAAAGTAATAAAAAAAGAAACCACTGTGTGAAATAATACAGTAAAAATAGAATGAAATACAATGATGGCGTGACAGTATAAAATAACTCAGCTTAAAAGCACGTGTGAATAAGATTATTTTCAACCTGTTTTTAAAAATTGCAATGGATGGAGCTTTCCTGAGATCATCAGGCAGTTGGTTCCAGTGCTGTGCTGCATAGTGACTAAAAGCTGCTTCTCCATGTTAATATTTTACCCTTGTTACCATGCACTTGCAGACCACTCCCCATTGATCTAACGGGTCTTGCATTGTTATATTGGACTAACATGTCTGCTACGTATTTGGGAGCATTCAGAGTTTTAAAAATGAACAGTAAAATACATAATACATTTAAAAGTAGAGAATTTCCTCTCGAAATCATGAATGATGAATACACTTAAAAAGCATAAATATAAAAGTCCTTTTACCTGAGTGTAGTGAGTGCAGACAGGTCCTGAACATCTGAATGGGCAGTGTGGGTTACACTCCTGAGAATAGGGATAGCTGTAGTGTCTCACCTCATCATACCAGGCCTGGACGTGGTAGGTAGGGGGGCGGTCCCTAAGTCAAAGAAAAAGTGTTATACCTCTGTCTATATCTAAATATTTTTAAATTATGTCTAAAAGACACAATACATATATGGACTACATGTCATGACAGAAATGCTGACCCATATATATATCCTTAGATAATCCTTAGATTTCTTTGTATGAGGGTTAAACTTTCTTGTTGAGGTTTCCATGAGCAGGTTTACTGTGTTTAAATAGATCCCACTGAACTTGAACACAGTTAAATTGGCAGCTCCAGAAGGTGAACTGTCAAATCAGTTTGTTGAGTGTCTGCTTTATCCCACAGCTGCATGTGAAAAGCCCTAACCCTAACCCTTAAATTCATTAAATCCCTGCAGCCATTCACACCTTGATAAATCTTCAGCCCCTGACTTAAAAAAATGCTGTGGCATCACACACATCACTGCCTCCTACTTTATATCACATGCAAATAAAACCTGACTGCTGACCCCGTACAACACTGCATTCCACCAATACTGCAGCCAAATTACTGAGCATAGCTAAAGCACTAATAAATAAAGATAAAAATGCAGTTTGATGTGTCGATGATGACGTTTGAAAAATGGTTCCACAGATGAAAACATATTTCCAAGAAAAATGCTGGAAAACTGACACTAATGCGGCCAGTATTGTAGCAATTTTATGCACAGATTGAGATACATGTACATTTACACAACCCTCCACACACACACACACACACACACACATATTATTGCTATAATAATGGCCTCATACGCACCTGCCCCAGTGTGCTCCAAGGTTTTGGCCTATTTGAGTCAACATGTGACTTGGCCCATGCTCCCAGCGGCAGGTATGTGCCCAGTGCTCTGCGCTCCTCTCTAACTCATAATCCCATACCTGGGGAGAACACACACACACACACACACACACACAAACACACGGAGCAAGAGAGGGAGAGAGACAGAGAGAGAGAGCTTCTTGGTTAAAAAGTAGTTTGGCTCTGGAGGGTCAACCCTGACGGTCAGTGAGGGTAAATTGCTTTTCTTTCATCTGGCAGCTGAAGCAGAAGTTTGGTTTTCTCTAGAGCTCTATTGGAAATTGAGTCAGAGCAGCTTTGCCTGTGACAGATGTTTGCAGCCCTCTACAAGCTGCGTCACATTTCTGATTTAAGAGAGCAAAGTGGCCCCTTACTGTAGTTGTGGCTTTGTTTGCCACTCATTATGTTTTATTTTCTGATATGTCATCGCTCTCTTTGAATAAACCAAACTACCATAAATTCCATTGCCTGTAATCTGAAAGTAACCATAAATACTGGAGGCAAAGTGAACCTGACAGATGAACCTGCTCTTCACTTTAAAGCGCTGTGGTTGTATGCACTACTTCTGCAAATTTAACACACTGTAGTCAAAACTAGGCCTCTCCCTAAACACACATTCACTCTCCAGCACACAAACACGTATCTGAGAGAGAAGGGAAACAGAGGTATCACCACTACCACATCGACTTACAGCTTTGTGCTACTGTTCTATGTGGTTGTTTGATCATTTGTTTCCAGTAAGTTTTGGTTTCATGAAACAAGCGTGAAGAAAAAAACATTGCATAAAAAAGCTACTGAAACAGAGAGGCTCTGTTTTGGGAGCTTGATGCCATCTTTACTGTAGAAACTCAACCAAACTGAACTCAATTAAAGTGAAAATACCTGAAAACTACTCACACACCTCTTGTTTTGAACAAAGGAAGAAAGGCAGACCTTAGGAATTCATATACGACAGCAAAGTTAATTTACTGTTGGGGAGCTAGAAGAATACGTGCAGTGTGCTCTGCTGTTGGCATGCTGTTAAGTTGCATTACGGCTATCACACGTCAAAACAAATAGGATAATGCTAAAGTGTGGGGTTGTAACTGCCCTGACTGACCACCATAATGCGTCCCATATGTTTGGTGAGGCTAACACACTGCGTCAGTGTTAGCTGTCTCCAATTCACTGTGGTGGTGCTTACTGTTTAGGCTTGGGTGGAGAGGTGATATTTTGACACGCCACACTCCAGCTGTGACTGAGGCCACGCTATACTGCTTTTAGCCACGGTCATATCATTATGTAGTAGTTGTTCCTCATAATTCATAATTTGACTCGTCTGTTTTTCTTCAATAGAGGATGGCAGGATTCTCTAAAGCTCCTTTCACATCACTGTGTTTTCGTTTGAAAACGTGTCAGCTCCACTGCAGATGCATTTGGCGTTCACACTATAACAGTTTTGGAGCTGCTAACACAGAGAATTTGGAAACGCTGCTGGCCCCATTTTAGCTTCAAAAGTATTTAAACTCAATGGCAATGCCGTAGCCATCGCTGATTCCTATCACATGGCCCCCTTCTAGATGAAAACAACCAGCATACGCTTGGCTACCAGTGAACGCTGGTTCAGAATGCAACATTAACAATCAATTACGAGTGTTGACTGTTCTCTTTGCTAAGAGCTGTTGTGCTGTCTTTTTGCTTACACTGGCATGTGCATGCCCAGCGTACCAGCACATGAGTGCTCACGTATTATACATTTGTGGACTGGGATTAAAATTGATATGGAGAACAAGCTTGTAGTACTCCACAATCTGACATTGAATGGCTAAACTATCACATTCACATCACAAAGTCATATCTCAGGAATGTGTGCTTGAGCATATTCTCCAGGCAAACATAACGTATTGCCGGATCCCATTTGCCAGGTTCCATTAGATAATATCAGCATCTACATCTCACTTTTTTGCCAGGATCAGGGCGTTGCATTTCTTAAAGAAGTTCAATATTTTGCTTGACCCAAAAGTCAATGTTGATTTCTTTTAACTATGTGGATGATCTTACCAGAGATAATCCAACCAAGTGTTTCCATTTGTGACAGAAAACACTCAAATATTTGCTGCAAATTATTAAGCAAACCAAATCAAATTTCATCAAGAACTCAGTAAAAAGTGTTTCCTTATCAAATTCCCCTGTAACTTTCCAAAACTGACAATTCCACGTGCACCTCTACTAAGTCCACAGTGGATACTAATGATGAATGTCAGCTCATTATTGCGTGTTGCATGTTCTTGTTATTCTTCACCCTCAATTACCCAGCAGAGGGGAAGATGGACTGCCCACCAGCTGCCCTACCCAGCTACCAATCTCCTTTTGCATTCCAAAGGGCATTAAGTTCCCAAAGTACAGACCTGTTTCCATCCATCTGCCAGGACCATGTCTGCTACAGTGTGTAGTGCAAGATGTGCATTCTTACAGCAGTAGATGCCTTACAAAGAAAAATATTAAGAAAACTGGTAGCCATTGATTTTGCATGAAATTTGTATGAAAACTATTGAAGTGTAGGACTTTTGGCCTCCGGATCTTGCAATCTGAAAACCAAATAGTTGGCCCTCATCAGTCCCCTGCCTTACCACATCATTATCATCAGTAATAGTATCCCTTGCTAAAGAAACACTGGATTAGTGTACATAACATACATTTACACTACTATGCCCTGAACTTCAAACAACAGGGCTTGACATGTCTGAAATAGATTCACCACTATGGCACCCAAAATGAGATGCGTGGAGGATCAAATAAAAGATAACATTGGCCTCAGCTAGGGTTGGAGGGAGCAGCGATGGATGGGGAGAGAGGAGGTGAGGAGAGAGAGTGAAAAAGGAGGAGGGCAAAGAAAAGCCTGAGGGAAAGCTTGTGAGGCTGAAGATGAGGAAGGCAAAAAGAACTGGGCAGGGAAAAAACAGAGTCAGTGGGGAGAGAAATTGCAAAGGGCAGGAAGGGAGGGAGGGCAGGATGGTTGAGGTAGAGGGCAGGACAACACTGTGGGGGTGAAATCTGGATCTGGGCCAGAGTCAGCGAGGCTGGGAAAGCAGGAGGCAGGATCTTGCCAGATGATGGCTTTTGTTTGCAGATTTTGTTCTCGCTGACTTTCCTTCCCTACTCTGCTGTCTTTAGTTGACTTTAGACACTGACAGAGTAACATAAATGCTTTCCTCTCAAAAAGACTGGAGACTTTACAGTCTAACCAAATTTGGCCAGGGTCACTTTCCTGTGTGTTGAATCTATTCTGAGGGTTGACCATACTTTCCATGTCCTTTGCCTGCTGAGAGGTGCATACTTGTTGCAGTCACAGATACATGACCATGGTTCCATACGTATGAAAATGAGGGTCTGGCATTGCACGCATGTGTATCTGATCCCACATTCCATTCCGGTAGGTGGAGTGGTTGAACCTGAGCCCCACACAGTCAGAGTGTAGAGTCAGTGTGGTCCCAGATTTTGGGCTGCATAAAGAAATAGATTTTTAGCTGGTCACCATCAAAAATGATGACTGCTACTGGCAAAATGTATCAGATGGCTAGCTGATTAAGCTAAAAATTATGCTATAAGGCTAGGCAAGTTGCATGTCCCAGGCAAAAGTCAGCATCCTCACTAGTAGATTATCTATGAAGAAAACATGGGAACACAGAAACAGCATTGTTCTTATATAGCAGTTACAGCTGGTAAGTAAGGGGAAAAGTAAAATGTGGCTGTTAATGCTGTTCTACGCCAGTGTGGATGAGAGGATAGCTGTTCATCAAGGCCTCTAGGATGTGGGATAACCAATGTGTCTGGCAAATGTGTTTCCACTCAATGAGACTATACAACACAATGGAAGAGCCAGTGGTTAACAAGATTTATTTTCCCTGTTTGATCCAAGAAGATAATGTTTAAGCATTAATGATATGTTCTTTGTCTGTGGATGTATCGTTGGATTACTACTGTGAAGCTGGTTGGTCGTAGAAAAGTTGGAGAGAAGAAAACACACTGTTCACTCCACCTCTTATGTTTTTCTTTTTGGTTTTCGGAACCAAAAGAAAAGCACTCTCAAATCTTTGAATGTGGAGTATCGCTTTTCCTAGAGCCCAACGCACAGTGCTCGAGCATGTTTAGCATTCCAAAACTCAACACGCCTGCCATGCATGGTTATATTTGCTAATTGGACAGAAAGACAGGTTGTGTTTCATTGAAGATTTACCTTGAGTATACTGTACAACAGTCAGCTGAGTCTGCAGCACTCACCATGTATTCCATGTTGGAGGCGGGAGGGTGGACCTGACCACGCAGCTTGTTGTGCAGGTCCAGAATGAGGTGCATGTCTCCCTCGCTGATTGCCCTCTTCCCTCTCGGCCTTGCCCCCCACCACTCCTCATCTTTGTCCCTATACTTCTCCAGGACGGACTCGAGACGTGTGGAGTTAGTGAGAACCTTGGCTAGGACGGTCTGCGTCAAGCACAAGAACAAGCTTGCCGCTCTAACCCAGCACAGGAATGGAAGGGGACTCTTCATGATGGGGAAAATATGCTGCAGAATAAAGAATACGTCCTGCTGTCTCCACAACAGGAGAGAAAGCATGTTGAGTTTGAACCGCTTGAATTACTTCCGATTGCTCACTTGGAGCATGTGAGAGCAAAGCTTGCATGCATCTCCTTTGGCCTTTTGTCCATTTAAAAGAAAAATAACTTAAACTCTGGGTATTAGTAGTTACATCATATTGCACTTAGCTTAGCCCTATTGGAGCATCCTTAGAAAACAAGAGCCCAAAGGCACATTTAATCTATCCTCTCTTTTTAATAAAGCCATAATTATAGTGGCCTTCACTTCAAACAGAAAGCCTAATACAGCTTTCAGCAGCCTGAGTGCATCTGCAGGTCACTGCATCACCACACACAGTAGGACTAGTGTCAACTGACTTTTCACACGTTATGTTGCAGAGCAGGGGATTTCGTGTGCATGCCTGAGTTATTGTACTGTATGTGCAGGGAGGCTTGAAGCAGTTTGATTCATATAAAGTTAAAATTGATATTTTGTTTCAATTTCCACATGAAATAAAATAGTCAAGTGATATTTTTGTAGTGTTAAAAATGACTAAAAATAATTTTATTTTGAAGGAATAATAATGAATAAAACTGCTTAAGTCAAAACGAATATTTTTGTGTCAATATTCCGTTCAAGAAATAAATACTTGTGATATGTTTTATACTAACATTAAAAAAGTCACAAAACAAACAATATTGTAGTGGTATCAAGGAAAAAACAATATTAAAGTATGAGTCAAAATGAATGAATGAATATTTTCCTACAACAAATACACTTGGTATATTTTTAAACAAAGAAAGAGGTTTTATTTCTACATTGCCTTCAAGACATAAAATCATCTTGATATTACTTTTACACTCAACTATAAGAATAAGTCACAAAACAAGAATAACACATTTAAGGAATGAGAAATATAAATGGAAAAACTTATAACAGTCTAAACATTATAGTGATCTTTATTGGACAGGCATAAAAAGAGTATTCCAGGTTTACCTCTAATTTCCGCCAAACCGATCAGAATATCTCCCAGGTGCAATTTCCCAGACGCCAGAACCAGAGGAGTTTATTGCAGAGCGACAGTTCTCCGGCGCAGTGACTTCCATCTATCACACATGAGGACTGTGTACATCCAGGCTGGAGGACGGAGGGGCTCACAGGAGTCTGAAGGTACCTGCTGAATTCCTCAGGTCCCACGGTGCGCTGCCGCTGGCTGCGTGGGACTGCTGCTGCTCATTTTTGCGCTTATATGCCAAATTTGCGCTTAGCAACGCACCAGCGGGACCACGCCTCCCCGCGCCCCCTCGCACTGCACCCCCCCACCCCCCAGCCCTGCAGACTCAGGTCAGGGAGAGGGATTTGTTGCATCTCCTGGGGTCGATCCATTCAAAGGAAGCACCAGATCACAGGAAGAAGTGACGTGAGGGTAAACTTTTGGATGTCAGGATGTCAGGATTTGGCTGTTTACAGTATGATGTTTAATGATCATGAGACTAAATGTGGCTCCCAAAAGAAAAACTGTTAGAAAAGACTAAAATAATGTTTCCGTTATAATGACATTTCCCTTTGTTTCTTTGTCTCTGCACTGCAGGGTGGTATATCTCTATATGGGGTCATATTTGTTCAGTATCCTTGGTTATTTACTTATTTTACTACATACTATATTGTATACATCCGCCATTGGCACTAATGCATCAAGCATCCCATTCATTAGAAATTGTGAGTGGTGTTTCCCCTTCCTCCTGAGGGCTGAACTCCCCTCAGCTCATATCAGGCTGTTTTCATCACTGTGTGTGTGAGAATGGCAGCAGCCATCAGGGTGGTCAGTATTCCCCAGAGACACGACCACAAAGCACTGATTCATCTGCCTTTGCATACACTAGAAGAGTTGTGAGAGTTTGTGGGTTGGCTGCTACTGCTGTGTGTGTGTGTGTGTGTGTGTGTGTGTGTGAATGCTCACCCCCTTCTCTCTCTCTCTCTCTCTCTCTCTCTCTCTCTCTCACTTGCTTTTTTTCTGACTGTCCATCAGAACTAAGAAGATAGTTTCCTAAAAATGTTCACTGTGGAAAATAAATAAGCAAAATGAGACAAAATATATGAAAACAATACTAATGAAAAAATGACTGAAATGCATATACAGCACAACAAGCATAAGTTGAATCCACAGACTGTCCATGCTGAAGTAATGAATTGGATATTGTATCTGTGGCATCATGTTGAAGTGTTAGAGCACAGTACAGATTTCAACCAAGAATCCCACGAGAGCACTTAATTACCAAAAATGAGCAGTAACTCTGTGGACCTCTGTATTCAAAGTATATAAACTGCTCTCATGGAAACTCAGCCAAAGTTAAATTAAGTCTGACAACATATTAATACAGACACAGAAAATAAATCCCTGCAGCAAGACGCTGCTACAGCATCACATCAAACAGAGCATATTTAAGATATGACTGACCAAAGCCTTGCTACCTGACAGCTGTTGTGTGTGTAGATTCAGTCACTAATTTGAAATGATGGTTAACATTTCAATGCAAACCGTATTTTCTCTCTTCCTAAGCATGTGCTGCCCCCTCTTGGACAGAGCCAAAAACACCTTCAGCCTGCAACAGTCCAGCCATGCATCAGTGGTGTGCAGGCTGTGGACTGTGAGGTGTTTGGGATGAGTGCTTATCGATTATGTGTCAAACATAACTTTTCTACATTTCATTTAAAGACAATTTACACAGACATTAGCACTTTGGTACCAATACTATAAGTTAAAAAACTGAAAATGAAACTTAACATATAATCAGAACTAGAGGAGTTCCAGTTAAAATGGAGGCTGGCTAGATCTTTGTGAGCTGTTTGTCTTTTTTACTGAGAATAGTTCATATCACCAGAACAACCAGAGAAACACACACACACACACACACACACACACACACACACACACACACACACACACACACACCCACAGCAGACATGTGCATATGAGAGTTACAGTGCCTTGCCATTAGCAGTGAGGTTACAAATAGAAACAACTGAAAACTGTTCTTGTATATCGTTACCACCACTCAAAGTTAAATCTAATAGTATACCACTGCTCAAACAAAGGGAATGCTTAAATCACACATCAGAAAGTCTTTATTGATATACATTGTATAATTTTTTGAGAACAAAATGACGTTATGATCAGTTTAACTGAATTGTTATACTGTGACCATTCGTGTTCCTTAATTTCTTAGAGCAGTGTATTCCCATACAAGTGGATGGGAGTAGGTTGTTTTCCGGTTTGAGCAAACACCCCTGGAAATGTCTGTGCCCATTTCTGCAGCCATTACAGAAAAAAGTTAAAAGCACAAGTTGCACTTCTTACTGTTAAAACTTGAGAGATCCACTTCAAAAAAGGACATCCCAGAGGGGGGGATTTAAATCACAGGAGCACCATTCAGTGAGATTACTGAACAACAGGTAATTATTGCTGGAGTGTGGGAGAAAATTGACCCTCATACACTTTGCAGATGAGATTAAAATCATTGACCGCTACAAGGGTTATTAAAATCCTCCCATGTCCTCCAGAGAAATAAATCCAGTCTGAATGAGGCATGAGTCTGATATTCTGTTTTCAAAAGAATATAAATTGCTTTATAAACCTGTTATAAAAATAGAGGTTAATCAATGTACCCATGCCCACAATAGTTCTTCAAGAAGTTAATTTCTGTTTTTCATTTTCTTTTGTATTCCTGACATGTAGGATCATAGTCATGTCTGTAGTTGTTACAGAGACTTACCTCATAGCAAATGGCCAATTCCACTAATTGTGCATTTTATTCTTTTTTTTATAATTAAATGCTCTGTTATGAATTAGTTGAGTGTGTAGTTATTATTATTTGTGATTTACTTCACATATGTTGTATTACAGTGTTGCATTGTTTGTATTTGCCTGTTTTCATTGAGAGCAGTGTTTTAATCTTGGGTCTCTTGTACAGTTATTTTGTATGATGTGTATATTGCACATGTATTGTCCATAGCAAGATATTTGTAAGGACATCAATGGGTAATTGTATCCTATTCCAGGTTGCCTTGTCAGAACTGGTTATGGGGAAACAGATGAAAATTAGTTCATACAGGGAACTTTGGTTCATTTACAATATTGAATGTGTTGATTAATGAGCACTGTCCCTATCAAATAAATATAAGGTGAATCAGATATTTGCAGATATTAAGAAATATTTCAAGACTGATGGTCAAACATCACTTGTTGTAAAATAAAATACGTATGAGCAGAATATGTAAGAGTAAAGCCAATTCACCACAGGTCTGTTCTTAAATGTGTTTTGATGTGTGTGGTCCTAGTGTAATGATATTTTTCATATATTTTCCTTTTCCACTTTGATATGCTGTATTTTTTTAGATCTTTTACTTGCTATGTTTGGAGCTCTGAATAAGACTGCATTCTCATTTATTTATTTGATTATTATTATCATATTATTAAGTGTAAACTTAAAAATAATACCGATTTAATAAATGTAAATCACTTTCCAAAATAAACTGCAGCTGAGGAGCGTTTTCACAAACTGGAGCACGAAGCACACACACGCACACGCACACACACACGCATGCACAGCAGCTTTATCAATGAGGTCTGGTCTGTATCTTGAGAGAGGATTAATGTGGAGCCTGAAGGTGGAGCAGGGACTGTGGAGGTCTGAGGACCGGACTGTAATCCTCCGACCTCCCGGGGAGACAGACACACACATTGGGATGAACATGTCCAACTCGTCGCTGTCGGATTTGACTGGATGAGGGACTGATGGACTGAACGACACATGTAAACGTGGGACGCGCGAACTGACTGAACCGTTCAAGTGAAAAGAAAACGGTTTCATGGAAATATCTGAGACGGAGCAGCTCATCCTCAGGAATCAGAAATGGTGCGAAAACTTCTGCTGCACATCGGTGAGTTCACAACTGGAAGCATGTTTCTAAACCTACTTATAGCATCTGTGTTGAAATCATCTCTCAACCATAGCTCATGTTGTGTTAAGGATTTATGTTATTTTTCCAAATCGGGGGTGGGGGGGTTGGGGTGATAGTATGGTACACATTTGAGTGTTTCCTTGTTTACTGTCAGCTGTTGATGCACACTTCTGAAAAGCTTAGAAACTTAATTGTCATATTTATCGTTAATAGTGTTATTAAAGCTGTTTTCAAACATGCACTGAACTCGGATAATCTCCTGACATTGTCCGGAGTGGCTGTGTTGGAGATAGAGTACCGGTGATGCTATTAAATAAATCATTGTTATTTAATGTTTTCAATGTGCAGGCACATCTGACAAAGATCACACTCTTCTTTTCCCTCAGCTTTAGCAGCAAGCCTGTTCTCACCTCAGCTGTCTGGTGCCACAGCTACCAAAACAAAAGCTCAAGGTATCACATCACATTCCCAGTTCGACTGTTCATCCCTCATCTCCGGTCATTTAAGGTTAAAGACAACTTGTGCAACTAATGATTAGACACTTATTATTAGTTGTAGTACTGGGGAGTAAATAAATATCAATAACTATGACAATTCAATGTTCATCAATTCCGATATAACGAGTTCAATATATATTGAGATTTAATCATTCTCTGTTCATAAAGACGAGATTAAAATAACAACTTTCAGTCAGGAGCAAATATCTATAAATGTAAGAGGAATGATATTGTGACATGCATTGTGATAATTATTGATATCAACTGATATGAATATTTTTTTTTATCTTGAGATAACCCAGTATTGTCCAGTCATAATACACTGCAGTCCTAGTTCTAGCTATGTATTATACCTCTGTAATTTGCATATATATGTGTGTGAGTGTATCCTAACATAACTAATTCCATAATCGTTCTTGCAAATCTTACTAGCTTCACACCTGCCATGTGTATTGTTATGGCCCCAGGAAGTGCAGTGTCTAATTTGGTGCAAGGTGGACGTTTTGAATTAACTCTGTAGCAGCAGAGCTGGAACCCATGAAGTGACGTTCAGGTGCATTGATCAACAACATCACTTCATGACAGCTATGACAACCTATTTCCCAGTTTGGGGTTCTGTGTATTGAGTCGAGCCTCCCCGGCCTCAGGGTTCTGTGGACTGAGTCCAGCAGCAGGTCTTTACTTGCCGCAGCTCTATTACTGCAGCTCACTTTTACAGTTTCAGAACGGAAACTGCAGCCAGGATCACTACAAACAGCCCAAATGTTTACAACAGGCACAGCACCAGTAGGTCAAATGTCACATGTACACAAAATGAGGCTTGGCGGACTGAAACTGATGAAAACCTTCTTAACACCTTTCATTTGAGACTTTTCATCTGTTTCCAGTGAAGAACAACTCAGGTGTGACCCCAGCTGGGAAGTGTGGCACCTGGTTAAAGGAGCCTGATGGAGGGTATTTCACCTCACCCAACTACCCTGAGAAATACCCACCTGAGAGAGAATGTGTCTACATAATAGAAGGTGAGATAACCATTTTTTTAGCCCTCACTCACTTTCCAATCCTCTCTTCATCTGTTTTCAATCTCTCCTCCTCCCTCAGCCTCTCCTCGACAGTGCATCGACTTATTCTTCGATGACAAGTATTCCATCGAACCTTCCTGGGAGTGTAAGTTTGACCACATCGAGGTACGAGATGGGCCCTTTGGTTTCTCGCCCATCATTGGTCGCTACTGTGGGCAGGAAAGTCCTGCGTATGTCCGGTCCAGTGGAAGGTACCTGTACATCAAGTTTGTGGCGGATGGTGAACTGGAGTCCACTGGTTTCTCTGCCCGGTATAACTTCACACAAGGTGAGTGATGGAAGTTAAGGTCAAAGAATCTAGAGCTGATTGACTTTCTGAACTTTAGTAATATCAGTTTTCTATCAGTTATAAAGAAAAGGTAAAAAGGAGACTTGAGCTGTTAGGAGAATAAAGAGGCTACATTTTCTACAAAGCTACAAAACTACTGAGAGCTGACCACAGAGAGACTTTACGTGCATCTCGTGCATCTCCAGCACAGATTAAGAGCAGATGTCACAGGTTGGATGTGGTCAGTCTTGCTACCTAAGCAGGGACACAGCACACAAGGCAATCTGCTGTTGTGTGGATGTAGTGGAAATGCATTTCATCACAGCTTGGCTCGGCACAGTGCAGATAAAGTGGTCGTGCCCTGGCTGATGGAAAGACCCTCGTAGTATAGAACAAATTACGTACATATGTTTGCATAAATTGCGAGCAGGGAGGATAAATACATGTACTTTGTGTGGATAGATGGAAGAATCAAAGGATGCATAACATGCAAACAGAGTGAATAAAATACACACATAAAGACAACGTCTTTACAACACCACCATTAACTACATCGTCCATTATCTGACCATGTCGTTGAATCAACATTTCTCTCAAACATTTTCATGAAAAACCTGAATATTATGATCATAAAGCAATGAAACTGGAGGCATACTTTAAAACGGTCTTTACATAGAATTAACTAATTGTGGTTTATTTCAGTTGGGTTATGAGGATGATAGACAGTGGAGTTAAACATCATCCCTGCACAGACTTTGTTGGTCCACAACAACATCCTAAAGAGGATAGTCTCTCTCGTCCGTTTGTTTTGGTGAAAGGAAAAACAGTTTTTCAGTTGCAGTTTTTCCCTCATATTTTTACATCCCAGCTCCACTACATATATTCTTGTACCAGCTGCTGCTCTGTCTGGCTGGGGCTGCGGATGTTTAGAGTATTACTACGTCTCTAAGCCTTGTACTTCTTTCCTTGGCACTCTCTCCTAATCCACTATCCTGTTGTGAGTTTGACATTGTTGGCTCCCACATTGGGAAACCGGCTACATCTTTTACACAGTGTGTCCCTTTCTGTCTTTGGCCCCATTTACACATAACGCTCACTAACACAGCTTTGCACCCCACACTGGACGCTTGCGTTTGCAGTGACACACTATAGTAAACTATGAGCACCCCAGAGGACCCCTGTAGTACCCCTTTTGCGACAAGGATGTCGGACAGTGTACAACATGTGATGCATTTCATCTAGTTTGCACAAGTTGCATTTCAAAACTTTAGTAATGATCTGGCTGCTCGCTGCTGGGAATGTTCTCTCATTTTCATTTGTAGTGCAGGGACACCAGCTGCAACTGATAAGGGAAGAGGAGGGGAGCATTTCTTCCAACGTATGCACACATGCACGTGCGCACACACACACACACACACACACACGCTCGTTTCCTCAGTCACAAGAGTTAATGAAAGCTTGTTTTCAGGGGAATTCAGCTTGTCAGCGCTGAGCCGCAGCAGCAGCTTAAGGGAGTCCGAGGCAGAGGCTTTATTAACAGCAGATTTTATAGGCCACCTACACTGACGAGAGGCAAAGATTAAAGTACATCCCTCTGTCTAGCCATCCATCGGTCCATCCGTCCATCCATCATCCATCTTTCTTTCTTTCCTTCATGATTGAGCTTCTCTACATTATATTTTAATTCTTCAATGGATTCTTTAGACTCAGCACTCTTGTGAGTCCTTCCCACCCTCTTTTGGAAACACAACTCAACTCAACTTACCACAGAGTGTTAACAACCTACTGATCATACTTAAGCACTAATATTAATGTCTGAGAATGCATTGTTGCAACACACACACACGCAGAGTTCGCTCAGCTTTCCGCTTTTGGACTTTGTATTGTCTTCTGTTCATTTTGTACAACTCAAACCGTATCCCTAACCACTTCATACTTAACCCTTACCTAAACCTACCCACAATTCAGATTTTATCCCTAACTATAATCAGAACCTCAGAAATGTTACTCCCTTAAGCGTACTGTTCCCGACAAGGTCAGTGGTAATGCATGAAAAGGTCCTAAATAGGCAACAAAAACAAGCACACACACACACACTCACAGAGAGAAGATGAATGTGAATAATCTGTCCGAGCCCGAAGCAGAAACTGGTAAGAAATGAGAGGATTAATAAGAATCCTTGTTGATTTAAGCCTCAGTTGAGTCCTGCACCTGTTCGTCTTACATCATACCTGACCACGTGTGCCGTATTATACCCTTCATTAAAATGTTTTTAAGATGTCAGATTCTATAGTTTTTAGATTAGATTTTATTTAAAAAAGCCCTAAAGCTCCATTTCACATTTCCTCTTTTAAAACAAAATTCTAAAACTGTTGTTTTCACACGTTATGATACTGTAATTTGTATGTTTAGTATGTGCAGAATTTCATTTTACAAAATGTCAAACTGGGCTCTTGCAGGAGAATTTTGAAAACAAAAGAGAAGTGACAATTTTATCACTAGATTGTCTTCGCTGCTGGAGCCTAATCTGTCCTGAACTAAGCTGATATATCAGGATTTATAATCCACCTAGCAAGTAAATTCATCAGCACAAAGGTTTAGGACAAATTTCTTTTCCCTTTCTGAGGCTGTATGTACGTGGATGTGTGCGCATGCATTTGTGTGTGTGTGCGTGTGCACGTGTGATTTTCCTTTTTGATGAAGAGCAGCCGGGTTTCGGGAGAGTTTGAATGAGGGCAGAAGGGATGTAGATTATGTAAACCATGACCAGCTGTGTTTTTATTTTGCTTTGCAATATGTCTTTACGTATTGTTATTTTTTTTGCTTGGTTTTATTTTTTTATGTGTATTTAACCCAGAAAACCGAGGTCAGAGATTCTTTTTTTATCTCTACCCCTTTCTGCGATAAAATTAGTTGCGGAGAAGAACCGAAGAACAGATTTAGAAACATACAATGATAATGAATAATAATGTTAATAATAATGATTAATTTAATTAATTAAGTATGTTCATATTACTTGAACGTACGGTAACTGGCAAAAATAGTGATGGACAGATGATATATTTACAGTTACACATTTTAGCACTTCTCTTTGAGCATTGTGATATGCATTTTGTCCAAACATATATAGAGACTAAATGTATAATAGTTTTAATGTGGAAAGACTTGAGTACATGTTTCTTATGTTGATTTGTCTCTAATAAATACTGTTTTGTACTTTTAGATCCCGAGTTCAAAGGGCTTGGAGCACTGCCAGCTCTGCCATGTGAGTATTGAAAGTGTATTTTTATGTTATTGTCATGTATCGGACTAATTTCATAGTTTTCAGAACTGGTCTACTGATTATCTACATTTATTGCATGTTTTCTTAATTTTTTCTGTCGTTGCTGAAGGGACAATATTACCCAAACTCTGAGCACTATTTCCTACAAGCAGTGAAATGTCATAGTTTGACACAAAGTTTAACACATTATCTTCCACAGACTGTGATTTTGAGCTGAGCGGTCCAGAGGGCTTCATAGAGTCGGCCCAGATATCGAGGGATGCCCAGGTGCAGCAGACGGAAGCTGTGGACTGCAGGTGGCACATCAAGGCTCCACCCAGAGCTAAGGTCTGGATCTGAATCAGTTATCCAAACACAATTATGTGCTCTCAGAATACTACAACAACCTTTGACACAAAAGAGTGTAAAAACATATGGTTTTGTTTTACAAATTAATCTTACATTCACTCTTTTATCAAAAAGTTGTTTTTTCAATCAAATTGAATTGATTTTTTATAACATTTAAGATTTGCAGCTGCTACCAATTTACAGCAATTTGACAACTAAATTAATGTTTTGTTGTAATTTGTTTAATTTAGTATTTAACTGTGAATTTTCATTTATCAACCATATCTAAATGTGCCAAGAATGCCATTGTTTTGTATCTATTTTCTGTTATTTGAACAGAAAAAAAAGTTCTAATCCTAAACCTTAACATGCTCATGTTTTAACTAGGATAGTTGTGGTGTCTGTTAACATCACTGGGAATTCAGCAGTTAATTGTTTGCATAAATAGGTGGTAAATTAATTTAATGAACATTAGAAGAAAAATAATTCTTAGCATGAAGGATGAGCCGAGTTGAAAATTGGAAACTCTTTCAAAACCTTCCTCATTCACTGCAGCTCACCCTGCTTATTCTTCTCCCCCACAGATCTACATGCGCTTTCTGGAGTACGAGATGCACAACTCAAATGAATGCAAGCGTAACTTTGTTGCCATCTACGACGGCAGCAGTTCGGTCGAGCACCTGAAGAATAAGTTCTGCTCCACGGTGGCCAACGATGTCATGCTGGTGTCCTCTGTGGGCGTGGTGAGGCTGTGGGCAGACGAGGGGAGCAGAAAGAGCAAATTCAGGATCCTCTTCACAACTTTCCACGAGCGTGAGTCCATCCAGTACAGTTTGTTTTTGTCTTTCTGGCTCTCTGTAGCAAATGTGGTTCATCTATCGAGGACTGGTGGAAGTCACAACAACAACTACCAGATAGCCCCTCCAGAGGGAGGAGGACATTTTGTTTGCTTCTCTTGTTTGTTATATTTACCCTCGGAGCTGATAAAACTAAAAGGAGAGAGAACACTGGAGTTCCATTTGTCAGGTGGCCAGAAAAACTACTTCAAATTAATGCTAATGTTAATTTACCCAAAACAACTTTATAAGGTGTGAATGGATGTAATGAATGAACAGCAAAGACCACAGGAGTACAATGACTGGTTTGAACGAAGCAGTCAAGTGCCCAAGTCGCCAAAATACATTCTTAAGACCGACCACAAATCAAATATATCAAAGTCACAGTTTTCAAATGTGGTTGTTTGAATTTTTTTTTTATGTGTTCATACATCTAATCTAAATTACTTACCAAATGTTTTACAGCTCCGTGTGAAGGAGACACTTTCTTTTGCCATAGCAACATGTGCATCAACCACACACTGGTTTGCAATGGCATCCAGAACTGTGTTTACCCCTGGGATGAAAATCACTGTAAAGGTACCTTGGCCAGACAGGCTGAGAAACACGCCTCCAGCTTTATCATATATTTGCTACTGTTCCTGTGGATGAGCCTAAAATCGTTTGTTTCTACATGTATCTCTCTAACCAGAGAAGAGGAAAGCCAGCATCCTGGACACGCTGGATAACACTAACATCACCATTATTGCAGTAACCTGTGGTCTGGTTGTCATCTTGCTCGTCATCTCTGTCATCATCCAGGTCAAACAGCCTCGCAAGAAATACATTATCCGCAGGTGAGATCTTTAAACGTCACTTTGAAATTTCATGTTTCCAGCATTTCTTCTGAATGAAATACCCACGGATTGTAAAATACCCAACATATCAATCACCTGCTGGCAGAAAATCAGCAAAGCAGATCCAGATATTTCCAGTGTAAAAGTCTTATTTGATAGGGGCATGAGCTCAACCTTGCGCTGCCAGTGTATCTAGTCTGTTGTGTGAGTAAATGCAAGAGGTCAGTTAATCTAAATATTGAAAAATACATCTCTCCCTCACAAAGGAGTGACGAAATGATTTCTAAGGGATCAGAGAGGATTTTGATTCAATGAACAGTTTGATCGATTCAATAAATCCCCTGTATGTGTCATTGTATGGTTAAATACTGTACATTGAGTCTTGGGTTAAAAGGCCTTTGGAGGAACACTAATATTGTCAACCTTATGTTGTGCTTTACTGAGCATTTCCTGAATCTATATTCTATGCTTACATTTGTGTATATGCTTCATTCCTCTACTTATCCTCAGAGATGACTTTGACCCTGCCCTCCTCCATCCTGGTTTCGAGCCTCCTCACTACGAGCTCTGTACTCTGCGCCGTGACCCATCCGGCGACCTGACCGACGCTGCCCTGGCCGAGGACTTCGAGAAGTTCCACAAGCTCCGTCGCTCATCAAGCAAATGTATTCGTGACCACCACTGTGGCTCCCAGCAGGGCAGTGTACACGGAAGCCGCAGCAACCTAAGCATGAGGGATGCCAACATTGCCGGTGACGGGGGGGCCCTCGTGCCGCCATTGCCGCCGGTGATGCCGAGCCAACAGTCACCGCGCCTCTCCCACCACACCACCCCTGCAGGTCAACGGAGCATCCTAGTGATGAAGCATAGCTACTCTCAGGACGGGGCAGATAGGTACCGACCGGAGGAGGAGGATGATTTGATGATGGATGATGGTCCCACCACCAGCCAGCACCACATGCACCATCATCAGATCCACCATGGCATGTCAGGGCTGGATCACACTGTCCACCGTACACTGTCTAATGACTTTTAATGAAAGGCAACATGGAAATGAAGAAATTGAAAAGAATAATCACAACACATATGAAACTGCACTTAGATTGATGAAAGGGATAAATAACAGGGGTAATGATGAACTTAAGAGATTATTAGAGACCTTCAATTTTTTTGTGGTTAAAAAACCCTGACACTTAATCTCCCTTTAAAATGTTCAATTTCAGTTTATTTGTTCAAATGAAGTTGACCTTTACAGATAACAGATGTTTACAGATGTTAAGTTTATGTAATTATTAAATCGTATGAAACAGGAATAGAGTAGAGTGTGAAACACACCTTCTTTAATGAAAATACCCTTCAGCCAAAGAATGTAGGAGCAACCGTTGCACATGTTGAAAATTACTGTGACGATGAGACTCTGTGTTCGGTAGTGACCCTGAAGTTGACTGATGTATTTCACAGGCAAGAATCAAAGCATTTATATGCGCACGCACTAAGAAATCTCCCATCCATTTTATTGCATCACATGTTTTCCTTTTTCTGTTAGTTTGAAGTTTCATCTCTGGGTAAATCATATTTAAAACTATTTTGTGGATGAATGATGCATTGCAGTTTCCTATCAGCCTGGATGTAACTTCACAAATGTTAGATATAATCCACTGTATACGTTTATAAATAATTTCATCAAAATGCATCTAGATCTAATTTAAGGACGGCATATAGTGGAAACATATCGGTCAGCACACAGATATTTGTTCATGTTTATCCAGAGAGCTTAGAAGGAATCAGGCTGAATTTTATTAAATGATGGGGAAACTTGGAGCTCGTATTTTCTGTTGCTGTGTGATTGGTTGCATTATGTATTTGTACATTCTGTGTTTGTTTTGGAGTATTCCGATGTGTATTTATGTGTGTCAGTTTTTCACTCATTGTCCCGTCCCATCTTTATTTATGTGGATTCTCTATTTATTTGTGTCATTAAACATTCTTTTTCTTTTCCCCTTTATTCTGCATGTTATTCAATGCATGTGTGTGCGCGTGTGTGTGTGATCCAGGTTTAACTGAAGTTGTGGGGACCTCAATCTGTTTCAATTGTTATTATGGGGTCAAAAAGCGAGTCCCCATTATGTTCATCATAACTGTTTAAGGTGACAATGTTTTAAGATTGGGTTTAAGGTAAGGTTAAGTTTAGGTGAGGGTTAGGGAAGTATGATTAAAGTTAGACTAACTTTCCTTTTTACTTCCTTTCCGACTTGGACAAGAGGGAAGAGCGGAACTGTTGTTGGCTAATCCCTCATCCACTCGGGCTTCTAACAGCGTTGCACACGTCCTCCATCGGTAAACATATGGAAGGACATCGGGGCGCTCGGTGCTATTTGTTATGATGTGTGAACTGTCCTTCAGCAAACTGTATCTGAGCACGATGAGCGGCTCAGCTTTATTCGAATAGCGTGTCATTTTAATCATGAACGACAACGTCATGCCACAGCAGGAGCTCTTCCTGGAATCACCGCCGGCGGGTCCTGGTGCGAGTGAAGCCGGGGGAGGGAGCAGGAGCAGAAGCCGCCTGGGTCTCATCGTCACGGGGGTGCTGGGAGGCTCGCTGGTCGCCCTGTACGCTGTGGCCGCTCCGTTTGTCGCCCCAGCCCTGAGAAGAATCTGCCTCCCGTTCGTCCCAGCGACCACAGCCCAGGTGGAGAATGTCCTGCGGGTGCTGCGGGTCGGATCGGGCTCTCTGGTGGACATAGGGAGCGGAGATGGAAGGATAGTAAGTGATCAGGAGAAGCAGCGTTAAAGGAGTACAGTGTGGTGCACTGTGCAGTGTTTGTCTGTCATAGGTATTTCAAATATACTGATTTTAGTTGCACGTGTTAGCATAGAGGACAGGATCAGTTCTCTCAGGGTCTTACTGGTGATGAGTGACTTTATTTTTACATATTAATTGTGTATCACAACGAACAGGATCTCAAGACACTTAACATAATGAGAACTAGGAGAGATATGGGGAGAGGGTTAGAGAGAGGAGAGGAGGGTGGAAAACAGGGGAGAGAGATAGCCCAGCAACAGTTGTGTAACATTATTATTAATATTTAATCTCCCTTAGACTGGTTGTTAGAAGGTAAATAATGTATAACAATGATAGCAACACCAGTAATAACAACAATAGTCATCACGTCTGAGTCCTGCAGCTATTGGGTCAGAGATACCTGCAGAATGAGGATAGAATGAGTACAAATTCATTAGAGTGGGATTAGAGCAATGCACTTAAGTTTGTAAGTTTTTAAGTTTCAGTTATTAGCCACTAAAACTGAGTTTCTTTGAGGTTTTGAAAATGCAAATGGATGCTAGTTTAAAAACGTCCCGTTTCTTTTTTCTTGTGTTTGACTGTTTTCACATAATCCATGTAAGATTAAAGAAAGTTACACAAATTCAAACTTCAGGAATAATAAACTCTTACTTCAGACCAAATCTGAACAAGCATGCTTGGCATCCAAATGTGGCTCCAGTTGCCGTAAACACATTGTTGCTGATAAATTGCATTTCCCTTTATCCTCGCAGGTGATAGCAGCAGCCAAGCATGGCTTTCAGGCATCAGGCTTTGAGCTGAACCCCTGGCTGGTGTGGTATTCCCGCTACAAGGCCTGGAGGGAAGGAGTTCACTCCTCTACCTCCTTCCATATCTCTGATTTGTGGAAGGTCAGTAGTAGTAGAGTATAGTATATGATGTAGTAAAGTATTCTGGAGTTCACATGCCTCTCAGTTTTTCATGTATTTATATTTAATATACATTTATTTAAATGAAAACATTTAACATCTATATCATTCCCATTATTTCTGATTACTTTGCCAGGTCAGTTTTGCTCAGTACTCCAATGTTGTCATTTTTGGAGTCCCTCAAATGGTGAGTTCTTCTTATTGTATTTTGTTATAATATAATTTATGACATGTGTGCCAATCTATTTCATGAAAATAGGAAATATTTGTATATAGCTCATTTGAACTATTTTACTATGAAGTGCTCCAAGTTACCTTGTAGTTCTTGTGAGACAGCATTATGTTTAATCACACCATGTAAGTTTAAAGAATGTCATAATATTACTTATGTGATATGCCTTTTGTTTCTGTCTGTATTCGCAGATGGACCAGCTGGAGCTGAAGCTGGCAAGCGAGTTGCCGAGCTCAGCCAAGGTGGTGGCCTGCCGCTTCCCCTTCCCTACCTGGGTCCCTGAACATACAGCAGGGGAAGGCATAGACACTGTATGGGTGTACAATGCCAAGACATTTAAATCACAACTGCAACAAGGAATGACAAGAGAGACAATGACAACAGCCCAAGAGGACACATGAGATGCACACACACAAGTGCAAACCATTAGATTTGGTTGTGAAGCTGTCATTGGGAATTGTAATCATATGAACTGTTTTCATGTTTGCAAAGGAGGTTTCTGTTCTTGGATACAGCTGCAATTGCTGGAAGAGATTAAAGCACTTAAATAACTAATTATGACCAGATTTATTAGTAAAATAAAAAGTAGGAAAGTTGCCTGCCTAAAACTTGTTAAGATGTATATATGCATTTATTATTTGACACAGGATGCTCAACACCAAACCAGGGATCCAATGGTGATGACTTGAGAAACTTCCTGGTTGGACAAAGTGGCACTAACGATTAATGATTGCATTACATAACTTTATTATGTCATAGACGGTGTATTGCAAATTGCACTGTTTATATTCTGAATGATGTAACAAGCTGGTCTCATGGAAAATTGCTCACCACGTTATTTTTGAATGGTACCACACAGAAAATTCTTGCCCTGCATCCTGTTTTTAGGCTTGTGTTATTACCTCTGCCAAGAAGGTTATGTTTTCATCTGTGTTTGTGCGTCTGCCTGTTAGCAGGATCACACAAAAACTGCTAAAATAATTCCCATGAAATTGGGTAGATGGGTGAGGCATGACCCAATGAACCCATTACATTTTTGGACCTTTTAATGTGTCAGGTTAGTTTCTCATTTAACAGAATTCCAGAAAAACTACTCGATGAATCACCCTGAAACTTAGTGGAAGGACAAGTTATGAATCAGTAAAGAAACCAATATATTTTGGTGTGGATCTGGATTAGATGTAGGATTTTCTGTTCACACTGCCAGATAGGGCATTATTAGTTCTCAGACAATAATTCTTGGATCTTGGGGAAAGAATCAGGCATGTTGAGGACAAATATGAGTACACTTCACCTACCCCTCCATCGGCAAACAATGTTGCAACCAAATCCAAAACAATTGTATATATATTTTATTATGTCACTTATAACCTGCTCATATTAAATATTATCTAAAAAAAAAATCCTTTAGAGGTGACAGATATTTCACCTTACTGTCTGCATGTCAGGTGTTGCCAGATCAGTGGATTAAAAGGTCTGTCACCTCATTCCTTCTTGCTGTATTCTCACTGGTCAACTTATCAGTTCAAGTTTATAAATAATAATAATAATTACTATTATTTCCATTGACCGTCCTTCCTTCCACAAACGATCAGAGTAAATAAATAAAGTAGAGCCTATTTAAGTGGAAGGAATCCTTCTGTGTGTATTCTGCAAGCTGAGAATCACTTTTATTTCTGGGTTTAGTTGCGGTGATGATCTTCATGGAGCTCTGAGCATTACTTTCTCTTATGACGTCACCTCCTCCAGATTGACAAACGGGCTGTTGCTCTCTGTCGCCATCGTGTGGTGAAACTACTGCACGGTCACATGTTGCATTGAAGAAGTGCTGACTGCTCGCTGACGATGTGTGCGAGCGTCGCTGTTGAAACATACTTTACACTGATGGTCACAGATAACTGGACACTGGCATCTGCTGTATAAACACTAGTGCTACATGTAGTAATCGCCTCCACGCTGGCTGACTAGCCTGAGCAGTGGAGCAGGGCTGCTTTAGCATCCAGTCAAGATGGACACCGCAGAGGAAGGTAGCTAATGTTGAAACCTGATTGCCCTAATTGTTAGCGTTAGCCGGAATAACAGCTCATGCTAACACGGTACTATGTGAACTAATAACTAACTGTTGTCAAGTACAATGACTGATTCAATATCAGATTAAACTGACGAAGCTTAGCCGGAATTGGAGAACCCGTTAGCTAATAAGCGATATTTTGTTTGCTAACTAGCATTAGCTTGCTCGCTAACTAGCATTAGCTCGTGTGCTTTTGTAAATAAAATTAGCAACGCGAGGTTCCTGTTTTGACTTTGTTAACACTGACGTTACACCAGTGAGGCGGTAGACGCAGACGCTCGTGTCAAATTGAAGCCACGAATCAACACGATGTATAACATAGTTAAAAGTTAGCGTTGCATACACGGAAAGCAGCCCGTTATCATAACGTTACGTACACACCGCTAACCAGCTAGCGCTAAGCTGACACAGGAGTTCAACAAAGACTTAGGGATCAATGAAATATGCTCATGAAATAATCATTCCTCTCGGGCTGTGACGTTAGCTGACAGCATCTGAACACAGAGTGCTGTTCACACTGAGGGGGAAGGAATCTCCACCGTCATGTCGTGTTCAGGTGTCTCAAAATGGTTTATTGTTGTTATTCACGTGTTGTTTGCAGCCCTTATTATGTCAGCCGGCTCTGAGTGCTGTGTGGATCCTCACTGGCATCATGTTGTTGCATCCTGGGCTAATTATAGTCACTTTATTTTGGTCCTCCAGTGACATAGGTAATCCAAGGATTACAGTTCGTCCTCCAGTCAGTGTATGACCTGTCCTCGTCTACTCAATGAAGACACATGTTTTACCTAAAACACCACAGTTAGCATGATATTCCTGGTGTGGACATTTTAATCAAGTATTTCAAGATAATTTTCCTAAAAACTAAAATCTCCAATCAACAAAAGTAATCAGACCCTGTGCTGCTTGCACTGTTAATTGTGGTCAAGTCCATCCTCTGTGCTTCAATTATTGATCATTGAGTGTGTCTCAGGTTTGATTGAGGTCTGAATTGACAGGTCATAGTTTAGAAAGGCATACGCCTGCTCATATAAGCCTCTACGATTCACACTGCATCTCAAGATGTGAACCAAACCATGACGTTCAAGGAGTTCTCTGGGAAGTTCAGTGATACAATTTGGGAATGACAGGGAAAAGATGATAGTCCTTCCAGAGGTACCAGCTGGGGTTCTCCTATAGAGTTGGTGGTTGTTTAGTCAGGATGGTGACCCGAACCACATGGGTGCTGTTAACAGAGCTTTAGAAGTCTTTCAGAGATGGTAGAACCTGCCTGAAGGATGACTCTCAGCAGCGCTCCATCAGAGATCAGCATGGTGGTGGAGGCCTCGTGCTGTAGATACAAACCCATGAAGACATGGAGCTATAACTTGCTGCCAAAGAGGGTTCTATGAAGTACTTTCATAACTGGGAAATGTCTGTTTTTATATGTTATTTACATTTATTTTTAAGGCAAAATGTTAATTCAAAATTCACTTGTCTGCACAGTAAATTGTGGAAATTGTAGTGGTTCTGAATATTTTCTGAAGCCACTGTTTATCATAAAAATGTGTTTTTTAAAGTTATGCTACTTTGTGCCTTCTGTAAAGCTGACATCTGCCGGGTCTGTCGGTCAGAGGGGAGCCAGGAGAAGCCACTCTACCACCCCTGTGTCTGCACTGGCAGCATCAAGTTCATCCATCAGGAATGGTAGGTTCAGTGGCCAAATCTTAGAACATGCATGTTTTCATGAACTTATCTGCCTCTCCATGCATGTCCAGCATGGACAGAAGTTAGAGAGGTGCCAGTTCACCTCCTGGGCACTGCCGAGGTGCCCTTGAGCAAGGCACCGAACCCCCCAATTGCTCCCCGGGCTCCTTCATGGCTGCCCACTGTTCCGTGTGGTCACTGTGTGGATTGTGTTCCGTTCCCACGGATGGGTTAAATACAGAGGTCAAATTTCCCCATGTTTGCATGTTGCATGCTGTGTGTGGGACCATAAAGAGGAATCTTAATCTTTAAGGGTTAAAGTGAGGATGGTCCCTGTCTACCCTTTCAGATATTTAGCTCTTACACATGTTGATATGGTTAGAATCGATTGTTGAAATTTACATTTGTTAAAAAAAAATATATTTGGGGGAAGAAAACAGCAGGGATTAAAGAAAAGAGATAGTCCTAGTTATAGTTTAGCAAATTAAGACACAATATTAACAGTGAGACATCAATTGAAACGTAACATTTTCTGGCAAGGGAGAACTCACGTTCTCGTCATGAACAGTCATGGGAACACTGCATGATTTAACTACAGGGCCACAGATTGAGATTTTCAGATAAAGAGTGCAGGTGATTTAAAGTCAAAATAAATCAGATAAAAATGGAAAACTCACTTGTTGTCTTTTTGTTTTCACAGCCTACTGCAGTGGTTAAAACACAGCAGAAAAGAATACTGTGAATTATGTAAACACAGGTTTGCATTTACACCAAGTAAGTTGTTTGTTTTTCAATACATCAATGAAGCATGTATTAATCACAAGCTCCTTTAAAGTTACTAATTCTGTCTCTTCTTCAGTCTACTCTCCAGACATGCCATCTCGCTTGCCTGTCCAGGATATCTTTTCAGGTCTGGTCACCAGTATTGGAACAGCCATCAGATACTGGTTCCACTACACGCTGGTGGCCTTTGCCTGGCTAGGCGTTGTGCCTCTCACAGCATGTAAGTCCCATCATCCCGTTGTAAAAACAAAACAAAAAGAGATTTCACCAGCAGTTTTCCTATTGTTACCACATATTGGATGCACTCCCCAACTTCCCCTGACAGTTTCAGAAAAAAAACTGAAGAAAATAAAGTTTCAGTAGTCAATTTTTAAAAGAACTGAAAGGTTGAGCTTCTTTTAAAGAACAAACTTAAATAATCATTCAACCCAGCCTACAGCAGCAATTTAATTCAGATGTTTTAACCCACAAATTATCACTTTTACTCAAGTGGAACTAAGCTTTCATTGTTCTTATTGGCAAAGAATATTGCTCGTTAAGCTTTTTGAAAGTTAAGGCATGCTGTAATGAGAAACATTCAAGAGGCGAGGACAGTCAGTAGCTCAACTGCAGAACAGTCTGAATATAACTTTTTAACTGACTTGTTAACTTGACTTCCAGTCAAAAGTCTCCTGTGACCACTTGTGATCATATCTCACTTGCCGGCTCTATATGCAAATAAATACATTTTTGTCATAATTTCTGTCGTTAAAGACCAAATGATGTTGTTTTCACCTAGTCTTAGTTTAGAGTCATGTCCGATGTACCTGTGTTTGTGTGTTTCAACGAAAGAGCAAGAGGAGTCAGAAGGGGGTGAATGAATCTCGTGCAAATGTGTTGTGAAGAAATATTTGATCAATTTAAGAAACATTTTCATCTTTATGTGCTAATAAGTGTTGATTTCCGTGGTGGCCAAGGTATGAGAGTAACATGAGCACTGAGAAGTATAAAAAAATATTATTAATTTTTACAATTCATTGTGAAACTGTAGTATATCAGAGGATGTCAGCTATATATACAGTATATAATATATATATATATATATATATATAGTTATTTTTATTGTAATAACCCTTTTATATGTTTCCTTTCCTTACAGGTCGCATATACAAGTGTTTATTTACTGGCTCTGTGAGCTCACTCCTCACCCTCCCGTTAGATATGCTTTCAACGTAAGTTTGAATCACTCCCTTTTACTTTGGGTTTTGCTGCTCCTGTCTTACACTGTCTTGCTCGTATATGTTCCCTCTCACTGGAGTCATATAAATAACTCCATAAAGAATCCATTCATAGGTCAGCTTTTCTTTTCTGCCATTCCGTTCACTGTATCAAAGTTATCTTTGAAGATTTAGTAAAGTTGAATTAATCCATGATGCACCATCTCCTCTCTCAGACAAAACCTGCTTGCAGACTGTCTCCAGGGTTGTTTTGTGGTCACTTGCACACTGTGCGCCTTCATCAGCCTGGTTTGGCTCAGAGAGCAGATTGTCCATGGTGGCCCCCCTCAGTGGTTGGAGCAGAATCAACCGCCTCTGGTTCCCAACCAGCCCAACGGCCCTGCACCTGAGGTGAGCTCAGTTTATGCTGAAGACTGTACAAGGTTTCTTTTTTCTAGCTGACCAAGGATCAATTATGTTTCACAGTTAATTTTACCACTGGTGCACTAAGATATCACACTGACAAGGTTGTATCTAAAAACTAATTGAGTTCATTTTGACTAAAGGCATTCATTTTTATCTGTGTATCTTCTTTTTGTATTTTTTTCTTAAATTGAATTATTTTAATGACACAAGCACACAGTTTGATTGAAACACACTTGCTTTGATTGAAGCAACAAGCCTTAGGACAGAAATATATTGGTAACAGTAGCAACAAATGAAAAAGCTGTTGCTATGGTTTTTTGGCTCATGCCATAACTTTATCATTGCTAATTACCAAATCAAAAAATATTTGTAAGGTTGATGAGCAAATAGGAGTTCAAATGACTTTATGTCACTGGTGCAGCCTCCGTTGTAGGAGTTCAGGAATCTGAAACGTCTCATTATGATACAGGTGCCAGGTGGTAACGCGGCACTCAACGCCCAGGCCGCAGCTGACGCCGCAGCAGCTCAGCACCCTGCAGACCCTGCCGAAGGCGGTTTGGCTCCTGGCAACCCACATGAAGCCGGTAACCAGGGAAATGATGCTGAACTAGACGAAGACGATGATGGGGAGGAAGACGAAGATGAGGAGGAGGAAGAGGAAGGAAGAGAAGAAGATGCTGCTGATGCCAATAATGGAGGACAAGGTCAGTGTGAGAATAAAAGCACAGAACTGGGATATACTTTGGAATAGTGATTGATTTGTCAATTTGTTTTTAATCTTCGTCTTCAGTAGTGTATGTATGTTGTCAACCTAATAAAACTATGGCTGCAGGTTTACCCTTAGAACTGTTGTACCCCTGTTTGAACAACATCAACATAAAAGCAGTAAAAACAAAAGATTGAACACCTGTTTTTTGCGAGCTGTTTTCATTTCTCTATAATGAAATGTGTTAACCTAAACCTGAGTAAGGAAACACAACCTAACCATAGTAATGGAGCTACAGGGGAATATTTGATACATGCTATACAGTATATTGTTCATAACTGTTACTGTTGTTTCTTATTCTCCTTTGCAGAAGATTTAAACTGGAACGCTCTGGAGTGGGACCGTGCAGCAGAGGAGCTGACCTGGGAGAGGGTGGGAATCTCTTTTTTATGAATATCTGGTTCAAATAAGGGCTTTGATGTCGCTATGTCATAATGCTAATACAGCAAAGTCAATGGAGGCTGTCAGGCTGTTTGCAGATGAATTTGAGATAAAGGGCTCGACAGGAAGCATCCATCTTACTGTAGATTGGTTAAGCAACACTTATTCTTGGATATTTCAGTGAGGTTTTTTGTTGCTGACTTGGAGTAGGATCAGTACATCTCTTCTTCATTATTAATTGGAGCAGCTGTTTTACTAAGACCAGTAGTATTAAATGGTAAATGATTTGTATTTATATAGAGTTTTTCTCGTCTTGATGACCACTCAAAGCACTTTACAGTAACGTTTATTATTCACCCATTCACACACACGTTCATGCAGTGCATCTATGAGCAGCACTTTTTCTATGAGGGGCAATTTGGGGATCACTTTCTTGCCCAGGCAAGCAGAGGCAGAAGACTGGGATTGAACCGCCGAGTAAGGCGTTCTGCTTTACGCAATCAGCCACAGCCTCCCATTATGTTCAATTATGTGTAATGGTAAGTGATAATTGACACTGGTGTTTTTATGTCCCAGATGCTGGGTCTGGATGGCTCCCTGGTTTTCCTGGTAAGTGCAAACACCTTTTAATTTGTATTCTGTAATATTTCGACATTAATGTGGTCATGGTGACTGTTATGGGTCATGCTGACTTTGGGCTTCTGCAAACAACTTTCATCAGGGTTGTGTAAGCCTCTTACAGGTTTCCAAGTAAACATGTTTTGTTACATGAATACTTCTAAACACTTGTCTCTGACAAATTGAAGACAGAAAGTAGCTGCTGGGAATGGTCATTTTTGTTAACTAAGTATATAGGCATCTATGCTGTACACCTTATTCATTCAATTATCCAAGCAACCAATTATTTGACGGCCGTACAAAGCATAAATGGAGAAACATGTCTAGGACAGTAAAAGTGTGTTTTTGTGCACAAGTCCTTGTTTCCCTGAATGGACAACCCATAGTCACAACTGCAACATATATTGGAAATATGCCAGTCTGATATTAACTGGAATTTGTCTAAAGCAACCTCAATGTTAATACAAATATAATCTTCATTGTAGCTGTAGCTAGAAATTATGGAACATTGACAGAGCAGTGTTTTTTGTGTGTTTTCTCTAGGAGCATGTCTTCTGGGTGGTGTCCCTCAATACACTCTTCATCCTAGTCTTTGGTAAGTTGAACCCATAGTGTAGTGATGTACACACTGTCTTTTTTTGATGTGTGATCAGTGCATTTTTTTATTCAAGCATTTTGTTTTCATTGTAGCTCAATGATGGAAAGACAGTATATCAGTATAATCTAAAGTTCTACCTTAACCTCTTTTTTCCCCCTCTTAGCTTTCTGTCCATATCACATCGGCCATTTCTCTGTGGTTGGACTGGGCTTTGAAGACTATGTAAGTGCACAGCGATATCTGATGAGAAACTTGAAAAGTTTAAATTACCTACCCGCTCTATATTTGGGTTTTCTCATTCACTGAATGAATTTATTTGATATATTTGGTTACAGATTAAAGCTTCACACTTTGACGGCCTTGTCACCACCATACTGGGTTACATCCTCCTAGCAGGAGCTCTCATGGTTTGCCATGTATCCTCTTTATTGATCAAATCACCTCATGGGTATGAGGTATTGCAGTTGTGTTTCCACTGCCTGACATTGTATCAGTAATTTATGTTTTTGATTTCAATTCAAATTTCTCTAATTTTTTAGCCACCACTTGAGTCTTAAAAGAAATGTTGTCTAGTCATGCAGTAACATAACAGGTCAAGCCAGTGGTCAAATTGTTTCTTACATTGTGTGTCAGTCCTTAACTGTGCCCCTTTTAGGTACTAGCTTCATTAGTAAAATTCCAGCGGTCCAGACGACTCCTGGGTGTCTGCTACATTGTTGTCAAGGTAATTAAGGATGCAAGATGAGAATATTTCCAAAAACCATCCAGAAACATTCAAACCACAAGTAGGAAATTATGATTACAGAAAGTAAGTATGAAAACAGACACTAAATTGGATTTGTATTGTCACAGGTGTCCCTGCTGGTTGTCATGGAAATAGGCTTGTTCCCACTGATTTGTGGTTGGTGGCTCGACATTTGCTCACTGGTAAGACAATTATACATCTCCACTGACCCTGACATTCACATACTGACCCTTTAATGACAAACAAAACAGACTGAATGCAATTGATGAAGAAAATTGGTCAACGTTTTATTTGAAAAACAATATTCCCAAATTATATGGAAAACACTGACCATACACCCTGTCCCTTTGTCGATTGCAGGAAATGTTTGATGCCACCTTGAAAGACAGGGAGCAGAGTTTTGACTCGGCTCCTGGTACGACGATGTTCCTCCACTGGCTGGTCGGCATGGTCTACGTCTTTTACTTTGCCTCTTTCATCCTTTTGCTTCGAGAGGTAACGTGGAGAAATTCAGCAAGTCACAATAACATACTGTGAATTCACAAACTATTCATAATATCCAAAATATCTGACCTGCACTTGTGTTTGAACAGGTTCTTCGGCCAGGTGTGCTGTGGTTCCTGAGGAACCTGAACGATCCAGACTTTAACCCAGTCCAAGAGATGATCCACCTGCCCATCTACAGACATCTGCGGAGGTTTATTCTTTCTGTGGTAAGTTGCGCATCCCCCTCTTTTCCACAAAAACTAACCTTCAGTGGCATAACAGCATGAGATTTCTCAATCAATCAATCAAATGTATTTGTATAGCCCGTATTCACAAATCACAGTTCGTCTCATAGGGCTTAACAAGGTGTGACATTCGTTGCCCTTGACCCTCATCAGGAGTAAGGAAAAACTACCCAAAAACACCTATTAATGGGGAAAAACAGAGAAACCTCAGAGAGCCACATGTAAGGGATCCCCTTCCAGGACAGACAGTGTATTAGATGCCACAAGTAGCAGAGCACATCAATAAATTAATAATATTTAAACATTAATGAGAAAGGACAGTCTCTAACATAAATTAAGAGGTTTATCAAAATATAAAGTACATATAAACTCCAGAAGCAATGTTTGTGCTTTAAACAGTCTCTCGAACCAAGTTATAAAGAAGTTTTGTTTTTTATTTACCCAGATGAAAATATAAAATGGAAAAAAAGTTTTCAGGGGAGCTACTTTCCATTGAAACATCTGATGGTGTGGATGTGGTTTACGCAGTAATGGAAGAAACAACTGTGAAAAGACATGGTTCAATCAAAAGTGGGTGTTAGAGTTGAAATTAGTTTGAACTGAATAAAAAATTGTTAAAGTTAAATCTACTACACATTGTTTTCAGCACCAAAATGCTCATTGTAACTGTTTGTGTTGCACTGTGAAAGAATAGGGATACTCTGTGTCTAACCAAAACATCTGTGTGTTTCCAGGTGGTGTTTGGTTCCATAGTTTTGTTGATGCTTTGGCTCCCCATTAGAATCATTAAACTATTCTTCCCAACCTTCCTTCCTTACAACGTCATGCTTTACAGGTACACATGACAACACACAGATTAACATTCTGCAAGTTAAAGGTTCTATCTTATAAAATGAATGTTTATAAGCTGTGGTTTGGTTTGTCACTGCAGCGACGCCCCAGTGAGCGAGCTATCGTTAGAGCTGCTTTTGCTTCAGGTTGTTCTACCGGCACTGTTGGAGCAGGGTCACACTCGCCAGTGGCTTAAGCGGCTTGTTCACGCCTGGACGTTCACAGCTGGATACATGCTGTAAGCGCGAGACACACAAACAAACTCACACGCTGTTAAATGGCAGAAAAGCTGAAATATAATTTGTTGATGGTCTTTTTCTTTTTTTGGTAAAATAAAGGATCACAGTGTTTGGGACTACAAATAAGCCTCAAGTCATAGTTTTCTCTTTACGTGCTTTGTCTTAAAGTAAACGTGAAGTGACTTTACAACAAAGTAATTCCTCAAGTTTCTCCCCACAGTGACCTCCACTCCTACCTGCTCGGAGATCACGAAGATGAGGACAACCAACCACTCAACAATCCTCCCGGTCGCCATAACAACAACCGAATCCCAGGCCTGGGGGAGGGGCTTCACGCTGCCCATCAGGCTATACTGCAGCAGGGCGGTCCCATCGGTTTCCAGCCGTACCACCGGCCTGTCCAGTTTCCCCTCAAGGTGACTGATGCCATGACAGTTCTTCATGTCATATTGTCACTGATGAACCTTGTGCCACTCTTAACATTTCCTATGCAAATAATGTTTATCTTTTTCTGTTTGTTTGTCTGTTCAGATCATTCTATTGGTCGTCTTCATGTGTGTGACGCTGTTACTGGCTAGTCTGCTCTGCCTGACACTACCAGGTAAGTTGTAGCCACATGCAGTCATTCTCTGCATTTAACTGTTACTCCTCTGCCCTGTCATTCTTCACACCTCTAATTATGGGTGCGAAGCCCCATGCAATACATTGGCACTTATATTATTATTCCTCGAACATTCCATGTTTATTATGGGTGCCTTGCCAGCTGGGGGCTCCGCCCCATGCAATACATTGGCACTTATATTATTATTGCTCGGGCTTATTATTCTTCCGCTTCCGTAAATTTTCGTCCCGCTACTCCTCCCACAAAGTTTGACGCACATTCACACAAAGTACATCAAACCATGTGCATTTTTCTCGATCGGTGTGCTATGACTTTTCTAAGACATTCGTCAAACGGTTCGTTCGTAAATCGCAAAAATACCGAAAACCAAATGCATGGGAGTCAAGGTCTCTCGCCCATTTAGAGCGAGCAGTCAAGGTCTCTCGCCCAATTAGAGCGAGTGGGGAAAAAATGGCTGAAAACGGGCGTTACAGAATGTTTCAAGGAAGCCTAAAAGATGCTGGTTTTTCAAAATAAAACCCCCGGATGGTTACAGGATGTTCCCAGGGAGTCTGAAAAAGAGTGGATTTTCAAAATAAAATCCACAAATAGTTACAGAATGTTCCCAGGAAGCCTGAAAGAYGCTGGATTTTCAAAATAAAACCCCACAATAGTTACAGGATGTTCCCAGGAAGCCTGAAGGAGGCTGAATTTTTAAAATGAAATCCCATGGATGGTGATTATACCTTATAACATGGTTTCTCTCTGTCTCTGAAATTGGTCAAGCCAATCAGTCACCMCTCTGGATCATGTGATCAAAATGCAGCTTTTATACATGTCTTTCTCTCTCACTGTCTCACTCTCTCTCCCAGGGTCTCTCTCCTTCCTCTCGAACTGTTACAGTCTCTCTCTCTCGCTCTCTCTCTCTCTCTCTCTGAWATTGGTCAACTCTCAGGGTCTCTGTCCTTCGTCTTAAAGGAAATGTCTCTCTGTGCGTGAGCATCGGCGACGAGCACAAGGCACCCATTCAAAATGTCTCGGCAGGAGAGATTTTCTAGTTCTTACCTGTCCTCCTCCTCTTCCCCCAGTGTGTGTGGGTCGCTGGCTGATGTCTTTCTGGATGGGCAGTGCCATGGTTCATGAGCTGTACACAGCAGCCAGTGGTCTCTACGTCTGCTGGCTGTCCATTCGAGCTGCCACAGTGCTGCTGTCCTGGATGCCACAGGGACGAAGCATCATCATGCTCAAAGTCCACGAGTGGACGCTCATGGTAATGTGTCTGTAGTCTTCCCAGTAAATGACCAAAATGAAACTCCTACTGAGGCGAACCTTTGTGTTTCATTGTGCTATCTTGTTTATACAGATTCTAAAGACCGTCGTGGTGGCTGTGCTGTTAGCTGGAGTGATACCTCTGCTGTTGGGTCTGCTGTTCGAGCTGGTCATTGTGGCTCCTCTCAGAGTCCCACTGGACCAGACGCCACTCTTCTATCCCTGGCAGGTAAGACCATGGAGTTTGTATGTGGGACTAATAACATCATCCACAGCACTTAATTGTTTCCCTGTAACGCCTGGGTCACACTGGTCGCTGATCCGCTGTGTCTCGCACAGGTATGTTGTTCACAAAGGGAGCAAGTCTTTGCACACAAGCCACTCATGCATCCAGTGTGGCCTGGGTGTAAGGCCTCAGTTATGCTCCCTTGCTGACATGGACAGCTGCAGACTCCAACGATGTGTTGAAGTTCATATCAAACGACTTTCTAGTCCTCTTGATTTCTACTCAGAGAAGTACATGGGATTTTTGGCACACCTGTCACTCGTTTCACAAATTCAGCCGACATTTAGTCTCATTCACAAAGTCGCACAAACAGGTTTTTGTGACGCTGAACAGATGCAGAAATGTTGGGACAAAGCTCATTGTGTTGCAGTTGTTAATTGGTTGACCATTGTGTGGCAGGACTGGGCGCTTGGCGTGCTTCATGCCAAAATCATCGCTGCCATCACACTGATGGGCCCTCAGTGGTGGCTGAAAACTGTCATCGAACAGGTTAGTCACTCGTCTGTCCAGCTTCATATGATCATTAAAACATAATCAAGAGGAATAACACTTTATGTAAGTACAGTGGAACATATTGTCCATTTTGTAGTAAATTTCACCCGTTAAAAATGGAATAGTGTTGGAGTAGTGAAGTAAAAGTATCTTGCTGCTGTAGGTGTATGCTAACGGTATCAGAAACATCGACCTCTACTTCATCCTGCGACGACTGGCTGCTCCAGTCATCTGTGTCCTGCTGCTGTCTCTCTGTGTGCCTTACACCATCTCTAAAGGCATCACACCACTGCTTGGTAAGTCTCTATGAATGGTTATTTGTCAGAACATAACAAGTATCAAATTTGAAGGTAGTGGATGAGAAGAGCAGATTCATCTCCTCCGTTTTCCCTCACTTGTCCAGTTTCTCTTATCTGCCTGACCTCCCAGTGTAAAGACCGCAGATACTTAGTGTCTAACTCTGACATTTGCGTTCATACATGCTCCTCCTCCGCAGAGTCAAGTGCATGTCTGAAAGCAGCAGGAAGAACACTTGTCCCCAGCCCTTTATGGAAATGAGGATTTTAGTCATAGTGTGAATCAACAGCTCAACACGATGCTGTGGTCATCTCTCTGTAGCCCACCTGCTCCCTCCTTTCCACCCCAGTGTGTCAGTTCCCACAGACATGGAATCACAGACATGCACTGTTTTCTCTTTCCCTCCCTGCTGCTGCAGGTGTCCAACCAGTGATGCAGACGCTGGTGGAGAGGAGGATCTATCCGTTCCTGCTGATGGTGGTCATACTGTTGGCCATTCTATCCTTCCAGATACGACAGTTCAAACGCTTATACGAACACATCAAAAATGACAAGTCAGTACACCACTCAATGTCTTCAGCATGAACTTAGACCTGGTGGCAAACAAGCTATATTTCTATTCTACTTCGGTTCATCTTGAGAAATGTCTGTCAGTGGTCAGATATTCCACTACTTAAGAAAAACACAGTCTATTGACAGTCAGCGTCCCAATACGTGCTGTAGTTGGTAGGGGAGTGCTACGGACACATTGTAAAGAAAGCAGCTAGGAGTTGGAAACAGATAAAATCCCTTATGTTTTTTTTATTTTGCATTTTCAATATGTAAATTGTCATGTAACCTATCATTTATTATGTTGTGGCTGAAAACAGAATATTGTACCAATTATTATCTGTAGTAAACACGGTTAAATACTCTTCAGGATTGGCCTGAGAATTACAGATGGTTTATATTTTATATATATATATTGTTTGGGTGTTGCATCTGTGTTATATGTGATTGACTTTTTAATAACACAAAATAATATACACAACACAAAAAGGCTGTTCGAATGACACATGAAGATCAAGCGAGAAAGATCGTCAAACATTCTGTTTTGTGACTGAGAATGAGAATGAGAAAAAGTAAAGCCAACCCTACTGGAAAGTAAAATGTAGGTGTTTGAGTGTGAATCCTTAAATTATTTCTGAACAGCTATCTTTCCCGTCTCTTACAGATACCTGGTCGGACAGAGACTTGTAAACTATGAACGTAAGACAGGCAGGAGCACATCCAGCTCCGCCTACAGCAGCTCCTCGTAGAGCTGACTCTTGCTGTGGGATCAATGGAGCTGCCTCGCTCTGTCCAGCACTGGGAGCTCTGTGGTGAGACTTGGCTGTGTACTTCAGACACGACCTCTGAACGACTGAGCTCTAGTACTAACTCTCAGTACTGCAACAGCAGGTTTGGAGACAAAGACCTTCAACAGTTTCAACGCAATTTTTTGTGAAGACTGTCAGCATGAGTGAAACTCAGCAGAACCGCGACCGTGTTAATCCTGTCTAATGTGTCTGTTTTCATGTTCAACGCAGCTGTCCTTCTAAGTGGTAAAGGTTTTAGATGAAGTCGGGTCAGTTGAGCTGAGTTGTTACCTCAGATTGTGGATCCCTTTGTATTTTTTTTTTTTTTATGAAATATTGTTAAGGTCACACTGTGTCTCTGAACAGGATGTTTTCAGGGTTGTGGGGGAGGCAATGGAGACACCCTTGTGGATCTGTTCCAGTTTGTCTCAGATGACACCCTTCACCAGAATGAGGTAGTCAGTGATAAGGAGGGAAATACATCATGTAGCAATGTGATTGTATTTTTTTTGTAGATTTTTTTATTAGACGTGTTTTCATTGATTTTTAGTGTTTAGTTGCTGGATTGAACTGTTAGAAAGGATTCATTTTTAACTGAAGGCACAGTCTGGACACTGCCCAGGACATTTTTATGTTCCCTTATATACTCTCTTGAATTGTTAAGCAGTCCTGGTTGTGTACGACCCTCCTGAGCTTTTGTTACAAAACAAGTGAAGTCCAGCGACAGGAGAGGAGTTTATGAATCTGAAAAAAATGTGGGAGTGCAGCACATAAAAGGCTTCAAAGAACATTTAAACAGTAAAAGCGGCCTTTCAGAATTGCATTACGTTCTTAAGTAACACCCTTAGATCGACACTGATTGCTTTATGTAAATATTTATTTTCAATGAATGGAAAAGTAATGCTGTTCAGACTCTGACTTGCCCGTGTCCTGTTATGAGACAACAGCTGAAAGCAACTCTAAATGACAACACTGAGTCAAGTGATTCAAATGCAGGTTCGCCCATCAGGAGATCAGTCGGTGGATGTGGCCACTGTTTACCTTTGACATTTCATACCTTCAAAAATCTCAGGTTTTCTTTTTTTTTCCTCTTTTAAATTTAATTTCCACTGTTGAGCTTAATCAGTCAGGTTGTGACAGCAGTTTTCTAAATGTTTGGCCTTTGTTGTGTGATACTCTTTCTGGAGGAAGCTTGGTCTGCTCTCTTAAAGTTCAAACTTGACCCACTTGATCATCATTAAATTGAAATCGGTCTCAACACAAATTCCCCACACTAATCTTCTCTCTCCACATCTTAGGACCAGGAGATGGTTAGCTCACCATAGCATAGCTTGGCATAAAAACTGGAAACACAAAAGACAAATTGTAAAAGAATGTCACTTTGGAGTTCGACAAGTGTTATGTTAGGGAGTCTGCTGTTCATCAAGTGATCTCATTAAGAAAGAGAATAAACATACACTGTATATAATTATGTACAGTGTTTGGTATATTATAAAATCTATGACAAAACTATGACAATTGAGTTGAAGAATTTTCAAAAAAGATGATGTGTTAGATCAATCATAATATCTGAAACAAGCTCCTGCAATTCTTTATGGGGAGATTTTACGTTTTNATCAATCATAATATCTGAAACAAGCTCCTGCAATTCTTTATGGGGAGATTTTACGTTTTAATTATTTTAATTTTGTTTTTATCTTTGACAATAACATTTAAGCAGAGGTTAAGATGTTTTTGTTTTCATGCAAATGTGTTAATGTGCTGCACTTTATTACACTGTTAGAAATATTCTCCGTCTGTGTGTAACTGCGTCAACCCTGCAGGGTCTGTGTCTTCTTCACTGAGGTGTCAATATTTCACTGTGGTGACTCTGCACAGCAGGATTCTCATCTGAGACGGATTTCAGTTTAGCGTCTGTTGTTGACACTGTATCTGTGTTAGTGTTTTCACTTGGAGTTTGGTAAATCTATAAACTGCTTTTCTATTGGTAGGGATTGTGAATGACTTTAACTTTAGTGCTGACGGCTATAGTATAGCTGTGTGGAATGCTCACATTATATATGACACTATAAAGTGACCTTTTAGTATCTTGTTGAACTGAGCTGGACACTTTCCATTTTGGTCTTGAATTTCAATTTTTAGAATCAAATGATTTCTATTTTTATATGTGCAAAACAGCAGTGGCATGTACTGTAACACAAATGTATAAACTTAAAGGTCATTGTTGGTTCAGTAACATGAAACAATAATAAATCACTTTACTGAGTTTTTGAGTGCAGTTTCATATTTACATTGTGGACTTTATGCTCTTCAAACATGTTCTTCGTGTTTTTGTTTTTTTAACTGGTGTTCCCCGCCATAGACTGTAAATAAAGTTGGATAACATGTCTCCACTCTCAGATATGAATGCTGCCCCTTTGGAGTCAGAGTGTTTGCTGAGGTCCTGCTAATACATGAGAAAAAAATTATTTGACAGAGACTTTTGTCCATGTCCCATTTACGACCGACACTGCAGCCAGGCACCAGGGTGCAAATGATTTGCTTTGGCTTCATTAAAGGGGAGTGGTCATGTCTTCCATCCTTAAAAAAAGTCTCACTCTTCCCTACATTGCTATTGTGGCGCCCCCTAGCTGCTTAAAGTGTAATGGAGACACTGAATAGTCCAGAAACAAATCTTTTAACAGACTTTTCTTAAATATTTGCATTAGTTCCTTATAAACAACTGGATAATGAGACTTCAGCACATTTAAATGAAGTGATTTACTTTGAATGAGATGTTCAGACACCCTGTTCTGTGGTGACTGTCGTTTTAGCAGAGGTATTTTACCTGCTCATGTTGCCTTTTGTGGGGGATCCCATGAGTCTGAGTTGGTATCAGTTTCTCTGTAAAGTAAAATGACTGCAGCTCAGTTCTTTTTGTTTCTACATGAGACAAAACAGATTTATTGNCAGAGGTAATACTTTCTTCAAAGACTAAATACATAATAGTAGTAATGAAGTAATAAGTAATAAAACTTGAATTGGAAAAAATATTGGGACCTTTAGCCCATGTTTGAGGCATTCATACCAAGTATCAGCAAGCTTATTCTTCTGGAATAAGCTAATCAGTGTGAAAACGTACCTGCGTTTAAGTTAAGAGAACATTTTTGCGTTTGCGAATGTTTAAAAAAAAAAAAAACCTGTGGGGTTCCTTATTTTAATTTTTTTTCTTTGTTTTTTTTTTAGTTGCTCCATTTCTTTCAGTGTTGATGGTTTCCAGACGTATGTTTTGGGTAATTATCCTGTTCGGAGGAGACAAAACTGTCTGATGCCTCGATAATCTCCTGAGTACACTGTGTCCTGCACTGATTCACATGACTGAGCCTCCTCCACTTTTCACTGTGGGGAGGATCTTCTCTCGTAGACCTTGTATTTTTCCTCTGGGAACGGAGCTCATTTTATCTAATCTGTCTAAAGGACATTTCCCAGCAGCATTGTAATGTCTCCAAATGCGTTTGAGAAAACAATCTGTAAAAGTGGATCTGTAAAAATGGGAAGACACTTTCACTCAGATATTAACATATGATGCATTGTGGTACTTTGCTGGTGTTTTCCTTCGTTCTTTGTCCACCACGTGAAATGTCCCTCAGTTCACTCTGGTGATCATTTTCCTTTTGCAGGGAGGATCTTGATAATATTACATCAATATTATTTGCTCTTCTATCCTTTACCTTCACCATGCTTGGGAAATATTTTCATCCTTAACTCCTCAGAAAACATTCTTTTCACTGTTGGGTGTGGTGAACACAATAATACCCAACAACAGGATAAGAACCTCCATTTTAAAATGGCTGAATAAAGTATGCAAGAAACCTGACATATTTACTGAGGACAATCTGCCTTAAATATCGCAACAATTCATAGCAAACCGCAAATGGGTTCCGATAATTTTGTCAGCACAAATGTAGTAAATCTTTATAGCAAGAATTCAGCTCTGTTCAACAGTTTCAAATGAGTAAAGACCAAAGAGATTTAAATGGATGCACTGTGTTGTTTCAGCGAGGTGTAACCACGTCTTTACACTTTATAGACAACACATTGTAACAGCAGTTGCTGTCTCATAAATCGTGGCTGTGAATGTGTCTGGTCTTTTAAGGCCTCAGTTCTGTTTTCTTCTGACAGCAGTAAACTTGCAGGTACGTAACAGTGTATGAGATTGTAAAATACTGTCAATGCCTCTCGACACAGAATTCAGTGACTGACCAGATTCGGTGTAGACACTTATCCTGTAATTTAGTTTTCTCCTAACCTCTGCCAAGGAGGTTTTCGGGGCTATTTGTCAGTTTGCAGGGTTACGCAAACACTATTGAACTACTTTTCTTAAAACTTGAAGAAGGGGTGAGATATAGGCCAAAGAAGAACCCATTAACTTTAGGAGTGGATCCAGGATTGTTTCCCCACTTTGTTTGACATCTCAAGGTTTTTTTTTTATATATATTGTGATTTCCCAGAGAATCAGACATGGATCTTAGATGCTATTAAGAGGACTGGTATTTATGAGTGTGTTTTAGAGAACTGTTAGTCCTTGTTGAGGATATGCATCAAGTTTGTATTTGTAGATCTGTAAACTGATCACTTTTTAGTTATTGCAAGTAAGTTGATGACCACAATGTGACAGAAAATCTAAATTAAAATGACATAATTTTGAAAAAAACCTTCATAGAGTGTTTTAAACCAACCTGGCTCTGATTTGAAATCATGTCTCTTACTGAAAGAAAACGTTGCTTTAGGAAACAGGAAGCAGGGGTTATTTCTGCTGAATCCAATTACGCGTCAGCTAATGCACAGTCTTAACAGTTTTGGAAGCCAAGGACAGATTAGCAGCATATGTAGCTGAGACAAGATTTCTGCTGTCAAGATAAATCAGATTTTTCCAGCCTGCACTTCATTTTTCACATTCCGATCAACCTTTTCACAGCAATTAAATCAGAGAGTAAGTGTCCCTCCTTAAGGAGCTCTGAGGGGATTAGTGCTGCGTCACAAAGACCTTCCTTTCTTCTGCTTCTCTATTGTCAAACCAGACTTCAGGCTAAAAACAAAACAGTAAATCCATCCAACTATTCCTGGTCACATCTACAAACTGACAGATAATATATTATTCTTACAGCTTTTAATATTACAAATGTGGATGCCTGCAGAAATCATTCAACACTGCTTTTATTTTGAAAGGTTAAAAAATGGAGATTGTATCATGGTAAGATTAGAGTTATCTGTACTTTAGATAAGAAATCGCAGCAGAACGAGTTGACTGTGTTTGTGTTGTTCTCTGTGAGCGGTGTGACCTTTGAGGATTTTCAAATCCTTCTGTTTTATTCATTCAGACACTTCATTCAAAGCTGTATTTAGCCTTCTCTGTTATCTCTGAGCTTTAAGCCTCGATCATTTTATTATATTGTAAAGGTAAAGCTCCCTCTGAAGAACAGAGTGAATCTGCTGTTAAAGGCACATTCACCACAGGGACTAGTTCAGGATTCAATAACACAACTGGAGGAGCTGACAGTGGAAAACAAGGAGAGGATGGGGCCTGTGCTGAGACCAAAGTCATCTGTGTCAACACTTGCATTGGTCTCTTAAAGATACATTTATGACTGGGTGCTAATTTTATTCTTTTATTCTATCACTTCATTTGTTTTTTGGTATTTCCTGACTTTGACTTATTACAGTGATGAGTTGAGCTGAGATGAGGAGTCTCTGTAGTGTGAGCGCCTCAAGATTCTTCACAGCAAAGCAGGTCATTACTTTGATGGCATTAGAGTGTGAGGGAAGACGTCAGGGTTCCTCATGCTGAAGGACACAGAGGAAACTGGCTCAGTCTGACCTGTGTGAATGGTGAGAGCAATGGTCCTCAGACCAAGGACAAGAGAGAGGCAAGTGACAGGCGACAAAATAAGAGACTGGACCCATTCACTATTGTCTGGTTGAAGCCACACTCACAAAGAAGATGGAGATCTTCTCTGGAACCATAACGTATAAATATCAAAACCGTGCAGTGCGTGGCGAAATAAACCCATGTCCTCCACATGCTTGTGAGCTCTGCTGTGAACTTGACGATGTGAGGCAGCAGAACAGATCTCTAATAGATCAGACTTGAACTCGTCTCAGATTCGACTCTGACTCTTCCTGTATGACGTGGACTTGGACACACAAGACTTGAAACTTGGCTTAAGGTGATCCTAGTCCTTCAACTGTGCCCTGTGTACAAAGTAGGCCACATGGGTGAGAAATCCAATTTAAGCTGGCTGCGTTAAGAGCAACACAAGTAAAAGCAGAGGGGGGCAGGGTCGGCTTGACCCTAACACTGACATTAATTATCCAATAGGAATATCTCTATCTCTAGATTTCTTTATTTTACACGTTATTCTCTCTGTTAAGTTTTTATGTGGAGATATAATTTTAACTTGCTTGTTTTCTTCTGTTGTCTCTGCGTAAATAGATATCAGAGAGGTTCAGTTTAAGACAGTCTCTTTGTGCCATTTATATTTACAGTTTGTTACCAACAGCAAACATGTAAACTCTCTTGTCGCTGGCTAGAAGAATGCAACAGGGGAATTGGAGATGGATGGAGAGAGAGAGAGAGAGAGAGACTAAAGGGATTAACATGTATCAGTTGAAGCAAATGTCTCTCATCCCATTGCTGGTGATCGTCACAGAAGCCCAGCGTTCCTCCACAGGGAAACACAGGATTAGTTTCCAACCAAGACGACGACCTGTTCCTCTGCTTTCCACAGGACAACTTCAACGTTAACGTCGACTCAACTCTTCAAATAATCGATTCAAACTGCCTGTCTGGGTGCCGACATCATGATTACACAATGGGACGGTCATAGCTTGTGGTGCCTGTGTGCTGACTTGTAGGTTTAGCTGCACTTTGGAAACCATGGATGCTCTTGGGCCTGTCAAACTCGATTTAATTGGAAATGTGACGCTGAAGAACCCATCCAGGAAGAATATGTGTGACATTTTATTTCTATTGACTGTGTTTGGTCACTTCATTAGTATAGACTGATGACTTCAGATCATGCACGTGATCAAATATTTGTTGGTGACATTGTGGCGTGGAGGATTTGTCACATCTGTGGAAAGCTGAAGATTTATTTGACGATGATGGAGGACTAGCAACCGGTGCTATGATCCAATGCCTCAGCTGTGACCTTTTAGAGATGAAAAGGGGTTAAGGTCAGGATCCTAGCAAGATTAATTGACGTCTGGGATGAGACGCTGTATTACGGCGGGCCAGTGGACATAAGCTCTAGGTCCTCCTAGAGATGTCCTGTGTCCTGGCACTCCACAATAATTTTAAAAAGTGTGTGGGGGAGGTTTTAAATGGTGTTAATAACGCAGGAGCAAATTGAAGGTTCAAAGGTTCGAGAGAATGGAGCGACTGGAGCAGCTGGATTTGGCGAGATTGAGTTTAGGAACAATAAAATGGACATGGAGACACCTGTCATGTCCATCACTAAGGTTGATGAAGATGGGGATGGCAGCGAGGTATCAGAAGAGGACGATCATGAGGAGAGTGAGGTTGATTACACACGCAACTACTGGGAAGATGAGGACGATATCTACCAGGAGTTTGAGGAGCTGGACTTTGAGGCTCTGCCAGATCTCTTGGACACGCGGAGCATCGCTTCAGACGACTCCTTCTATCCCCCAGACAATTCAGTCATGTCGGACATGTACCGCTCACCAAGCCCTGAGTCCATCTCCTTCTTCAAGGCATGCTGCAACAACAACGCCATCATCGCCAAGATCATGATCAGACAAGGAGTGATCGAGGAGGAAGTGAGGGAGACAGATAGGAACAGAAGAGTAGGTGGTTTAATGCATGCTGAGGGTTTGTTTTTCTCTACTCACTTGAAACTACACCATCATAGTGGAAACCAAAGAAACCTCAATGTTCTCCACTGGAAACCACATGGCGTTACATAGTGTCCTAGAAGAATTATATTTATTTTCCCAATGAATTATGAAGGGCTTCAGGTTCCATATATATTTCACTTTTTAACAAGCAGGCATTGTTTTCTTTTCATTCTTAAATGTAATGTTGATCGAGTACTAATCTAGGTTAAACTTGAGTCACTTTAGTAACAACGTGAATAATTCATCTGGAAAAGATCAGGTCAACCAATGTAAATTTGTACCAACATAGTGTTGGTTGCAAAATAGTCAGCAGAAGTGTAAAGTGAAGTATGGCTGAAACACATTCACTGGTCAAATCCTTCAAATGTTGGATTAAGCCAATATATTTTGATTGCTGACGTCCATTATTCATGGAATTCATGTACAGCTGAGGAACTGATGTGTACTAGGAGCATTAGTCCTTCATCACTGCAGGCATATATATATATATATATATATATATATATATATATACATACATACGTACATACATACAATCACATATCTGGTGTTCTAATATGTTTCATGACTGTATAATGAAGCATAGGACACACATTGACCCTGGGTGAACAGTTTTCCTCGGGCCAGCAGATCCTGGAGCAGCTCCAGGAGCCACTAAAGGTCACATCTTGAAGGAGGGTTCAGAGCAGTTGGTTAAGCCTCCAGTGACAGATGGGGAGTGTAAAGTGCACAGTCGCAGTGTCAAGAAGAAGCTTCTCATCAGGGCTCAGCTTTTAACAGGCTCTCAAAGACATTGACCTGAGCCCTGAGTGAGAGATACAATGTGTGCATATAGAGCTGGAACACATAGAGGGATTGACCAAGGCACTCATATTTATACTGGCCTATATGAGTGCACTATTATCTATTGTGCTCCAATTGTTCACCTGTAGTGTAATTGCAACTCCTACATTGAACCAGTGTGTTGCAATTATCATTGTGTTCATTTACAATGCAGATAATCTCATATTTGTCAGTCTACAGGGGAAGTTTGGAAAAGTGAATTCATGCATTTAAAGGTCCAGTGTGTAAGATTTAGGTGAAAGGGAACTATTGGCAGAAATTTAATGTAGAATAATCTTCATGATGTTTTCACTAGTTCGTTTCATCTAAGTTGTATGAATTGTTGTTTTATTTACCCCAGAAAAGGTCCTTTATATTTAAATACTTTATATTTACATCGAGGGGACCCTCTCTACGGAGGCTGCCATGTTTTTTACATGAGTCCAGCTAAAGGCTACCACAGGTTCTTTTTCATGTTTGGAAGGAGAGGGTGAGGTGAGGGGTGTTCAGCTGCAATATGCAATTTCAACACTAGATATCACACAATTCTACACACTGTACCTTTAAATCATGCTCAAATTGTATGTATCAACTTCGTCTCTATCCAAAGGTGGAATGGTATATTTACATTGGGTTAAGGCATTATTCATAATTAGTCGATTAGTAGATACCGAACCCCGAAGTGTCCCTTCTCATAGAGGAAAGTGCTGCACGTAGATACACTGTATGGATAGGTGAATCTTAAACTGGACTGTAAAGAGCTTTGACTGGTCATCAAGACTAGAAAAGGGCTGTTTAAAAACAGACCATTTACCATATGTAACTCAATCCCTTTTGCTCTGGAAAAAAATATTAAAATATCATGAATTACCCCAATTCCCAACATCAACAATGATATAACAGTTACTTTAAGTGCAAATCAACCAGTAGTAATTCGGACAGTTTAATGCTTGGTCAATGACAACTCCATCTGGAGACCAGTGGTGAGCCTGAACATTCTATTACCGTGTCACTATCTGTTTTGGCCAACACTGTAACTTGCAGCCTTTACTTTACTTGCAGGCAGGATGACCAACAAGAATTATTTCTTTTTATAAGAGTCCCTGCAATGATTTTCTCCTGAGGGGAAATATGGTGGTGCAACCGTAAAAAAAAAGTTTCACTGTGGCCGGGAGGAACAAAATTGGGTGTTTTTAAAAGCCAAAATCAATCACAGTCAAAGAGAAGAGGAAGAAGAAACTCAGGCACTGTTGTTTTTGTGTTTCAGTCTGGCCTAATTGTGGCGTGTTACCATGGCTACGTGGATGTGGTCATCGCCCTCTCTCAGTGCCCGTATCTGGATGTCAACTGGCAGGATAATGAGGGCAACACTGCTCTCATCACGGCAGCGCAAGCAGGTAAACCCACTTTGGGCCTTTGAATTGACCACCTATATGTAGATTGTCTCATTTTCTAAACTTCTATTTGATGAAAACAAATCCAAGAAACAATCAAAGCAAATCTCTTAATATCAGCAGCATTGTTAGTGTTAGTATTCTTAATGATGCCCCTACCACCATGGAAAATATCACTTATTAGCCTCATCAGTTCCCACTCAGACTGTGGGAGCATGTACACACTGTGCCTGGTTGAGACTCACCCCCCTGTCTTGATCTTGGCCTGTTTATTAAAATGGTTGACTTTTTTATGCTGAGGACCAGTGGCTTATGTGGCTAATATTAGCCTATGTTAGCATTAGTGACATTACAGTGAGTCAATATGCTGACTCAGTGACTCTGTCCTTGTGCTATATGGTTACTTCACATTTAAAGTTGTATCTCAGGTCAGGTCTCCAAAAAGAGCTTAAAATCAACTCAATGTAAAATCTGCAGTTTATTGTGTTTTCCCTTTTTCTTTCATCTTCTTATATCTGCAGCCACCAGTTGTATCACTAATGCTGCAAAAACTGTGCAACAGAGCAACAAGCATGAGCAGCAACCAGATTAGATGACACATGTAGGCTGAGGCCAAGGTTGAGCCATCAAGCATGTTGTAATGGAAGTTTTCTGGAAGCTGGTTAGAGGAGAACTCAGGCAGCAGCTGATGTCTTATGCAGAAGATTTAAATGTAGACTTGATGCATCAAGGAGACCAGAAGGTGGAACAATATACAAACACTTAAAGAGTAACATGAGCAATTGTCACCCCCAAGTCTGGAGATGTCTCCCACAGCGTCCCCATATATCTCCCTCTACTTGTGTCACCCATTCTAATGCTTTTCCTTGGTGAGACAAGCAACGATCTATGCAACAAAAATAAAACTACAAACTATTTCTATGATCCTGTAACTGTTTTTTTCTGTAATTTGTGGCTGCTGTTTGAACAGAATTTTAATGTCACTTTAGCTGGTGATTCCCTCTTTTCTGACATGGAAAGATGTGATAGACTTGTAACAGAAAAACTTAAACTTACATAAAGAGAAAAGAGAAAACTGAAATGTACTGTGACGGCCCACAAAGTGACTTCCTGTTCATGTTACTCCTTGAAGGAGCCTGGGTGGGTCGTCAGAGTAACTGATTGCATCTGAGAGGTGGGAGGAGCAAAAGGCATAAAGTGGTTGCTTCCCCAGTCTGTTCTCTTTCTCCCTGGGCAGCTGCCACCTGACATCATGGCCTCTGTATTGGTTTAGTTTGGTTTGTTTCTACATTTGATTCAACACTCTCACCTACACTTTCCCTCACGCACACACGCCTTACACTACTGATACTCACCATACTTGCATACTTCATCGTTTGGATTTATTTCTTTGGTTATTTGAATAAATCACGTTGTTTCGGCCTTATCGGTGTGTGTGTGTGATTTCCCTGTTGTTACAACCTTGAGCCAAGCTGTAACAAGTGGGGGCTCGTCCGGGAATCACACGATCCCTTTTCTGGTTAGTGTTCTTCAGTGGTTAATGGTTCCCGTTGTGGGGTAAGTAGCCTAGTACTGCATATTGTGGGGAGAACCTAAACTTTTTTTTTTTTTTTTTTTGAGCCAAGCTGTAACAGTACTTTTCATGCACACAAGTGAAGTTTTTATATCTCCTCTCTCTTGCCAGCAGTGAGACTAATGGAGTCATCTTGAGTAAGTGTATTTGAGTGAGACAGTCATGCTGACATGTTCACACCGACAGGGATCCATACAAAGATTATTCAGAGAAGATAGAGCACTCACTGAGATTCTTTCTCCTCCATTTACCACAGTGTGGTCCTTTTTACATTAACGTCCCCACACAACTGTGATCACTTAGGATGCACACATATGTTTGACATATCACATCTGTGTCACATGTGTGCATTTATAAACCCATCATTAGTGAAGCCTTTATTTACATCAGGTAATCATCCTTGTAATCTAACATCTAACATCTAATATCCCTCCTAAAGAGACATTTGACCTTTTAAACATTTCTCTCCCCCACTACTTTTACTTTAATGCATAATTGACAGTGGTAGAAACTTCAGTGCAGAGAATTAACTTTGAAAATTGGTCTAAACTAAAGCTCCAATCGTATTATGAGGTCTGGTGCCTGCAAGAATCCCTGTTATTTGCCAGCATTATCGTCGCTAAGGTAATTTCATAGTGATGCAGCCACATGTATCAGACACAGCGACGCAGCCTCTCATCTGCTAACGATGATGAATGGCTCACTGTGGCCTGTGATGAATAGCTGCAGACTACTCTTCATTTTCTGCTCCATTAAAAAAAGTATTGATCCCCTTTCATGACAGAGTACTCTGCAACACCTCGGGGGAACAGTGACCAAGACTGGGATTCCTGCAGCAAAGTGGTCATCAGAGAGAGGAGAAAAACTTTTACTCGCTCTTTACTTGAGTTAACATTCAAGATTTGAAAGAATTATTACTGTGCAACTCAATGTAATGAAAGTTACAGCTGTAGTCCCCTTATGCTGCTTTCAACAAAGTTGTATAAATTAATGAATAAATGATCCAGTCTTAGTTTTTTGTGGATCAGTGATCTTGCAGCGTGAGGAAAGAGTCTGGTGATCAGGCAGTGGACACTTATCGTACACGGCAAAGAGCAGCAGGGTGAACAGGCTGAGTAGCTGGGATGTGTGAAATCCCTCATGTCTGGTACGGTGAAGCAGTTCAGACTGTTTTATTCTGTCAGGTCAACGAGGGAGTCATGAAGTGAATGTTTAAGAAAGTGTGGTGGATGGTAAAAAGCTGCAGTTTGACTTCAAGTTCCATTAGTCACAGGGAGGATACTGATAAAACGACGCAAAGAGAAAGTTTGATGGGGATGAGACATTACGATAAGACAAGTAATAAAAAATAAATCAATGCACTTTGTAGTAGTGTTGCTGGGAAAATATAAAACGAATTACTGCTTTTAAATCACTAGTTAATGCTCTTGAGTTTTATGTTCTTTGTTGTGTGTATTAATTGTGCTCAAGTGTGAGATATTTCAGTTTAGACAGTTTAGACAAGTGGTGGACTGACTGACTGACCAATATTAAGCCACATCCACTGGTATGGGTCCAATTTTCACTGTTGGCCTCATAGCAAAATTGTCTTGGCACAGATTTGGCCCAGCGTACTGCAGGGGATGATGGTACTTGGATGGTGCGCTTCTGTTTGCCAGATCTAGGCCACAAGTAAGCAATACCACATGTCAACCAGAGGTGCCAAAGGTCACTTGAGTTGTTTTTTGCTATTTGGGCCAAATTCATCTTTAACCATGTGGGCCACTTTAGGTTCACATCCAGATTACACCTTGCTTAATTGGCCAATATTTGTTTTTGGGATATTTGGGCACACTATTTTACAAGTGGCTCACGTCCATTTTGTTCAGCCACAAGAAGGCCAGAAGTGTTGCATCATTGCCTGAGGTGGCCCACATCCATGTATATATATATATATATACATAAGAGTTGTGTATTAAGAAAACAAACTTTTCACACTGTTTCTCTCAAAATGTTCAAAGTGAGATTCGAGAGTTTGTAATATTGATTGTGTTGTGTGAATGAAAGAAAAGCAAATCCAATGTCAGAAGACGCTACGTAGAGACATGTCCAGGTCTAAATGACCGTTCCATGTCTCTCTCTGTCCTGCAGGTCATGTGTTCATCTGCAACTATCTGCTGAACTACTTCCCTGGGTTGGACATTGAGAGGAGGAACTGTCACGGTTTCACAGCTCTGATGAAGGCGGCCATGCAGGGTCGAGCTGAGTGTACCCGGGCTCTCATGCTGGCTGGTGAGTGTAACTTCATTTCTGCTTATGCAGAAGAACACAAGCAGAGTAAATGAGCATCAAATTCTAGAAACTACATATTTTGATTTGTTTTGACCCATGAGGAGAAAGTGTGTGAGTCTGTGATATTGGGCAACAAAAAATCTTATATGTAAGGGTAAATGTATGTATAAAGTTAATCGCATTTAATGTTTTAAATCAATTGTAAATGGACTGTTTTTATATATTCATGTCATATATAGTTATATTGTATTTATAGAATTTCTTATTAACCACTCAGCGTTTTTACAACACTAATTGCCTGCACCCATTCACTCTACATGCAACACTTTTTTATTACATACTTTCATACACTGTGGGTATAGTCTTCAGGGGCATTAAAGGGTTCAGTATCTTGCCCAAGCACACTTCTGAGAGCACACTGAAGGAGCCAGGAATCAAACCATCGACCTTCCACTTAGTGGATGACCCACTCAATCTCCTGAGCCACAGCCAAATCTTTGCACATGTTCAACAGATTACTGAACAGCTGCAGTCACAGACTTTCCCTTGATCATCTCCATAAATCTTCACGTTTCCAGGAAGTGATATTCAGGCTCAGGACAACAGCCGCAGTCTGACTCCCAGGGAGTGGGCTCTGTACACGGGTCGCTATGAGACAGCCAACCTGATGGACCGTTTGATGTTGAAGCCCTGTGCCGAGCAGTTCTGTGACTCCTTCTCTCTGGAGTGGCCCATTTTGGAGGTTAATACATTCTTTATGACCTCAAATTTAAATTGTGTTCTTTTTCAGGTCGTTTCTTTTAAACCACAATGTTTGATGCTCTTGTGCAGGAGCTGGTGGACCAAGCCCGAGCACCAAAGTCCTGCTGGAGGCGTTTGATCAACTTTCTCTCCTGCTGCCCTTATAGGTTTTACATCAACAACAAGGTAAAACCTCTGGATGAGGGTGTTCTCGACCACATGGTCCAGATCACCACCAGTATCTCCTGCCCGCTCATTGCCACAGCCTGCAGAACAGTGTGCCCGGGCAGCCCGCCGTGCGTCGGGAAGCGTCGTCACGCTGTGCAGGAGATTCTGAGGAGGCATCGTGTGGCTCAGCTGAAGCACTTGGGCCCGGAGAGACTGAACAACTATAAGAGATTATTCCAGAACTCACGGGTCCTCCTCATTCCCAAGGCGAGGGATCGGAGGGCCAGCCTGCAGAATCAGCTGCTCAGTGAAGTGGCCATGGCGTCCTCGGTGGCCTTTAGACGAGCCAGTCTCCTGCCACTCAATATGCTGAGAAGGAGCAGTGTGCGGCCGGGCATCATGGTGCCCAAAGTGAGGCTCTGCAAGGCCCCAGCTCCGAACTTTAAACCAGAGAAATGCAGACGGAGCAATAACCACAACCAGCTGCAGATTCCCAAGTGGGATTACAAGATGAAGAGAATAGAGAGGAGGCAAGAACAGGAGAGGCAGACACTGTTAACTCTGACCAGGAGGAGTTGAGGACAGAAGGGACGAGGACAGAGCACGATGAGTGACTACAGCAATCCAATGGATCACATGATGCAGTGTACTCAAAAGTAATGAATATAACTGATCATTTCCACGCCTGTTTTCTGAGATTGCCGACATTGTTGGATTTGTTGCCTTGTTTCTACTTGAGTTCATACATATTTGTAAAAGCACAATTTGTGATGCAGTATGTGAGCGATACAGGTGCTCAGGAAAAACACCCACAGTGTAGGTATGTATGAGTTCCTCAGTGGCACAGGCAGCTCAAATATATGGTAAAATCATTGGCCTGTGGCAAAAGGTACCAAAGACAATGAAGTGTGAGGGTTTCAGAAATGAAGAGCTCAGCTGATGGTCTCCATCCTGTGGTCTGGTGAACCCTCAGAACATTTTCTACCGAGCTGCAAACATACTCATTATAGAACGTTACAGACTGGTGAAGGGAAGTTTTATTCTAATGACCTTGAAACTGGAAAAGTACATGCTGCATTTTCCCTCATATAAAAAAAACCTATGGGAACCTTTGGTGAAAATGGCCTGATGTAGCATTTCTGCTGGAATATATGCAGCTGAAGTATTTTGAAATGTACTGATACTAAGCTGAAACCTCACAAAATGTCATCCCCTTAAGAGAAATCGGAGTGACTGAGAAAAAGATTAAATGAATATAAAGATGTTTCATTGGGAGGGAAGAACAGAACAGATAGAGAATACTGCAACATTTCTGAATGGTTTCTATACAACTAACACATACACATCTAGAGCTGGATGAAATGGGTGTTTTGGATGAAGAAGCGCTTGATTTATCAACATCAGCAGCAGAGTGGAGGTTTAAGTTTGGGCTGTAAAACTATAATAAAAGTGCTTTGGTTAAAATTGGGGATAGTAGTTTTTATTTAATGTTAATAAATGTAACTTTTTCTTTGTTCAAACAGAACCATTGGTTCTGTGAGTGTCTGTAAAGAAGGAGCCAGTGTCCCCAGGTCCTCTCGTGTGGATTCATTCCCAGGTTCAGTTCGGGAGGCTACTAATTGTTGTTTTCTTTACCCTAGAATGGGCCCTTTGTATTTAAATACTTTATATTTACATTGAAGGGGTCCCCTCCACAGAGGCCGCCAGCTTCACCACTAGATGTCATTAAATCCTACACACTGAACCTTTAAATCCTTCCCCTGCAGCCACACAGCAGATTGTGGATTGTGATGGTGGTGGCAGCTGATCGTAGATGATGGTTACAACTAGATTACATAGATTTACAATACGCCTGCCTTCATAACATACCTCTATCATTACAACTGTCCTGGCTGCTCCCTTCATCCCTGTCAGACATTTTCTTATGTACAAATACTTTTAACATTGATTTCACCGCTCCACCTCTGTCAGACACTGTGTTTTCTCATGAATGTTGTAAATATTGTTATTTTGTCACACGTGACTGTCAGAGGTTTCAACATTTTTGAGGATGTTGAGGATTAGGGTCAGAGGATGTCCGACCTTATTAAGGCCTATGAGACAAATAGTGATTTATGAATATGGGCAATACAAACAAAATGTTTGTTTGATTGATAAACAGAACCATAAAAAAAGTTTAAAATACGTTTAATAAGGATGTAGTCTGCATCCACAATGGATATTGTACTACAGGATCACATATTTCTGGTACAAAACAAATATGTTGTCTGCAAATACTTCTTCAAATATTTTTGGTATCAACATATTTTGAACTAGCTGTATACTTAAATCAGCAACATCTACGGAAAATGTAATTTGTCTTTGTTTTTATCGTTTTTATTTATATATTATTTGTATAGAAATCCTACATCTTTAAGAAAGTTGAAAAGAAAGAGTTAAATACTGAGGGGAAACAAAAAACTGCAACAAGACAAGAGGCCAAACTAAGTAAAAAAAGTACCTGTACTGAATGAGGTTTAAAAGGTGGAACAAAGTGGACTCAAACGGTAGATGAGCATTAAAAGGACAGAATCGGGGCTCAGACAGGCAGCAGGGTGACAGCCAGTCTGAGGACGGAGAAAGGAGCTGCGACAGCGTGTCCAAATGAAGATTTGTGAGAGGCTGCAGCGGCAGAGGGCCACAGGAAAGGATCGCTGAGCATGCAGCAGAAAGCCAGGAAGCTGTTTAACACTGATACGTAGTACAACAGGTATTTGCGAGGGAGAGCAGTGCTTCTGCTCCAGCTGAGCTGAGCTGAGGAGTCAGATCACACAGGCTTTGTAAAGGCTTTGTGGAGAATTTCAAAAGCAGAGCCAAAAATAAACAGCTTAGCGGAGACTTGCTGACTTCCTAAATAATCACATAAGATAGTGCACTTTTGGTGCTGCTGTCGTGTCCTGCATCCATGTCCTGCTCTGTGAACACAGGACCAGCATGTTAGAAGAGCTGTTAGAAGATTCAGATGCTCTGTAATAAGTAAAGATAAGTGAGAAAAATATGAAAAGTGATGAGGTTTTTGTCTTCTATGGTGGCAACATACAGGAAATTGTTTGCAAACTTGGATATGAGGATATGAGCCCTTCATTGAGCTGATGTTCATTTGGTGCTGTGAGGCAGAAAACCCCAAAATACTTAATACTCCCTCAATATTCTATATTTCTTGATAAAACCTGCTTTGATAAGTCACAAATTAGAGAAAACCACAGGGATGTATGGGCTCTGACCTGTTTGTCTCAGACTGAGCTGGTCTGGACCAGACAGACTGCTGGTGTCTATAGGGAGGAGAGTGGATACACCCCCCCCCCCTCTCTCTTTTCTGTTCCCCTCACTGATACAGCTGCAGGTGAGTTTTCTCACTGACGTCTCTGTAACCAGCCTCCTCTCACAGCTGAGACCATCTGTTAGGATTAATTGGATTTCAGGAGCCAAGATGCACAACTCGGACTCAGACACAGAGTAAAACGTGACATGGCACAGTTTATTGTAAAAATGTGCAACCAAACTGAGGGTGGAGGGGACATTGACAGAGACCCGAGTGAAGTACGGGGGCGGCAGGAATCAGGTTTGCTGATGAACCAGATTGATCTCAGGTGTGCTTGATAATGTGGAGGAGTGTGGCCTGACAGCCACGGAAACTAAACTCAGAGGAAACACAGGAAAAGAACTAAACAGCAGCTAGGAGAGAGACGTTCTGCCACATCCTGACACAATCAACAAAAGACAAGAGAGGAGATGATCCACTCGTCTTGTGTCCACCTGTCCTAACGTCCAGTAGGAGACTAACTGCAGACACTATTCAGGGCTGAGCACATGATCCCACCACTGCTTCACATGTGTTGCATTCTAAAATAATGTCAACTGTACTTTTTTAATTGTACATATCATTACCCTAAAAATAATTAGTCACAGAAAATGACACATCGGCAAACAGTGTGGAGGAGCTGGGGGTCGAACTACCAACTTTGGTGAACAACCCTGTGTACCCCTTGATAGATAGATCTTTGATTATAAGTGATCTGCTTTATAATTGTTTACAAGGAGCACATGTCTATAGGAGGTCTAGTGTAGTTGTGTTCAGACTCACTGTTAAACCTCAGAGTCTCCACTGGATTCTCTGGGCACAGACAGAAACATAAAGAAAAATCTGTCAACCATGAGGAATCTGTGAAAATCTGAACTAATCATAACAAGGAACTTGTTTTCTCAAGTGTGGCTGGTGGACTAAGATATGATGATGTGGAAGATGTCCCAAACTTTATTTATTATTTATCAGCAGAGCTTGTGTGAAGGCAGCTCCAGGTGGAATTTATCAGTCCGGCCTTTAGACTCTGCAGGAGTGTGATTTTAACTGTATAAACATCCTGCTGAAGTATTTGTGGCCGAGATAAGGAAGAAAGATGCACTTTAACCCGCCTCTCATCACAGGAGCTGTGACTGACACCCCGGCCGTGCTTTGTTCCGCGCTCCGACTGTGCACGTGAAGTGAAAACCACAGCGGCCCGACCCCGGCTCTCTCTGATAAAAATCGGTGCCTGTGGTGTGGTGATGAATCTGCAGCGCCCAGCTCAGCTGAACAGGCCTCAGAGACTAAAATGGCTGCCACCCTGACCTGTGCTGCAGCTGCTCTAATGACCACCAGAGGGCACTCATGTCCCTTGACAATACATGTAGATGAACTACACACATGTTCATAAGCATGTGCAGACACACATTCAGACATGGTTACATATAAAATGGACTGATCCTCTTTTCTTCTTCCTCTCGTCTCTTCTTTTGTGAAGCTGCTGGAAAGATTTCTTCTTCATGAGAAACATCTTAACATCTCATGATTTAAAAACTGGGCCACCTCTCCCCCACTATTGGATGTTTCACACTGATGCATTATACAAGCAACATAACTTCTGTGATCAAACCGGCTTTAAACTTCTGAAGACGGATGGTTTGATTTGTGTCCTGTTGTCTGTGGTGTCAAATCAGCTGGAGATTGTTTAAACATAAGAACAAATCATTTCTCACAAGTTGTCACTGTTACAAACCCCTAACAACCAGGTATTAAAGCTGAATGTGTATTTAAGGAAAGAGAATAAGCAGGACTGGTCCACCTGTGTCTCATCTATAGACTGAGTAGGTCTCAGAGTTTTTTCGACTCAGACTTGTCTCAGTCTCCTTCTGGTCTTGTCTATCAGCGTTTGGTCTTGACGGTGAGTCCAGTGACTTTTTCTTTTTGCCCTCTGTACACAGCATCACTGGCTGATCTCACATCCGGCTGGAGGGTCTGGGGTCCCACGGGGTCTCCAGGAGTCGCCATTTAGGCCTGTGTTGCCTCCATGTTCGAGGTGGGTGCAGTGCACATGCTACACTGCAGAGGTCCGCTGCATTATACTCCACACTGAGAGCAAATCTACCAGTGCTTCCAAACTGGAGCACTACCAGGCCCCATTTACTTTTTAGCTATTTGTAATTTACTTCATAAAAAAGTACCTGCTGAGCAAGACATAAACTGAAACAATGACGGTATTAGAACTAGATTTTGACACACGGTAACTGTAGGGGACGGAGCTTCATGATCATATGATAATGGAGGAATCAGTTAATGCTGTACTGGTGTAAATTCCCACACAGATTTGTCAGAAAACAAACGCCCTAAAGGCAACAAACACACAGGTCTCCAGGGCCCCCAGAGATCTGGGCCCCTGCAGCAGTTCCTGATGGTCTGTTTCCAAAATTCTTTACAGATGTATTTATGTGATGCTTGTTTTCCATCATGTGTCAGTGGTAACGTGTCTCATGTTAGAAGTGTTGCTTTATGCTTAAATGTGAAGTATTTAAAGACATGCTGCTTTTATAGTTTCCTTTTTAGAACAATCGTCATTTTTCTCACATTCTGGAAATAATATCGCAAGAAAGTTACGTCTTCATCCCTGTCTGTTCGTCTATCAGTCAACAGGATTACTCAAAAACTACTGAACGGATTTTCTTGAATCTTAAGGGCCCCACCCTTAAGATTCAAGAAAATCCACCGCACAATGTTGTAGGATGGAATGTACTTTTAGTTAACAATGCTTCCTGAAAAAACCCCAAACATTTTAAACGTCTCGAAATCCAAAGAGCTACAATGCTACAGGTATGCTGCCATGCTCCTACAAAGGTGGGGAAGAAGAAGTCAAGCCAAGAAACTAGAGAGAAACGATGCTGGATCTAAAATACTTTTTAAAAATCAGCTTTGCAAATGTTGACTGAGGAATGAAATCCACACAACGTCTGTCAGACCTGAAGGGCACATACACCATGTGTTTTTGCAAGTAATGAAGAATCAAAACGTATTTATTCACAGTAAAAACACCACATTGCCAATTTAAGTGCTGCTGATTGCATCTGAGTTTTGAGAGTTGGTTTCTGAAGAACGAATTAGATTAGAATTTCATACATATAGCTCATCAGTTCTTTGACGACTGATGACCACTATCTATCAAATTGTGTCCCTGAATGCACCACTTTGAAAAATGGTCACTCCTTGGGACCACAGCAGCCTGAGTTTGACTGAAGAACTGATGGTTCACTGTGATGGATGAACTGTGTCAAGTGGGTGAATTTATATATTGTACTGAAGGAGAGGAACAAGACCTGCCTGAGCTAAGTTAATGGTCAAACATACACAACTCAGAAGAGTGCTAAGACCCAATGGTCCCCTTATATTCAATCTGTTCTTTCCCTTAAATATCCATGAATTATTCCCTGGGAAATCAGTGACAATGTCAGAAATGACAACATAAAACAAAGTGAAAAGAAATTTCAGGATCTGCACCAAAATTGAAAGGTCTCTTTCCAAACATGTACCATATCCTTCCACCAGTTTCATGGAAATCCATGCAGTAGTTTTTGCATAATCCTGCTAACAAACAAACCAATAAATAAATAAATAAAGAGCAACACATTCCTGGAAAACAACAACAAAAATAATCTCGACAAGAGAACAAACGACTCTCACAGTCAGAGGTTCTTTGATGGCCCGTTTATATTTTTTGGAGCAGTTGCAATCTGTTTGAGGCAATAGAAAGATTCACAATTCTCTTTTTAAAACACGTTTGGTCTAGCAACAAAAAAGTTTACCAATGTTATATCTTCATACAGGTCTTACAGTCAGGTTTTTCTGCCTAAGGATCACAAGGACATACATAACGTTGTCAGTTTCCAGATGCTCACTAACAAATACAGTACGTCTGCTCGTCATCCAGTGTTTCAGTGGGGACAGTTGCATCATGAGTGGTTTTTCAAGCATCAGAAGAAGACTTCTAAACAGCAGTGGGTAAAGAAAACCAGGGTCTGTTGTCACTGTTTTTGCAATTTAGCCTTTCTCGCTTACAAAAAAAATACAGAAACCATTAACCTTCAGATTTACTGACAACAAACACTCATGCGTTCATGGATGCAGTTTTTCACTCTTAAGCATAATGATACCAATTGTTCAGAATAGGGAGTTTCATGCACGGGAAACACACTTTAAAGAGGAAACAACTGTGAATGTTTTCTGTGACGTGATTTCAAACGGTCACCTCTGAGGTGTAAAAAAAAAAAACCCTCAATAGTTTTGATGTGACATGTATTTACTTGTTGTAAATACTTCTGGCGGACATAGCACCTTGTTGGACTGCTTCAGTGACAACGTGGATCCCTGGGCCCTGGTCTACTCTACTCCACATAGCAACAACATTACTACACAAAGTCGACAATTTAGTGTTTTGACCAGGAAATAAAATGTGAACGAAATTCCTACATGTTGCTGTAATTTTTTTTTTTTTACAAGTATTTTACCATAATGTTGCTGCTATAAGTGACATCCACGTCTGCACATAAAAAGTATATATTTATATTTATATAATATATATCCAGACTCTATTAACAGTTTTGTCTACCATGAAGTTAGAATGGCCACCCATCTCTCAGAAAAGTTTTTTTTGTACTTCAAACATTGATTATTTTACAACACAGAAATCAACTAATTTGTACAACTTTGGAGGAAGCGAGGTTCTGTCCAGTCACAGTCCCTCTACAGTTATCTTCTTTCTTTTTTTCTTCCTTCGGTTTTTTTTGTTTTTTAGTTTTCATTTGAATTTTTCTCCCCGTTCCTGGTGCATCGGTGAGACAATTTCATCCCAGTAAAACACAGTTTAGAAAAACCAAAGCATTTACAAACTGGCATTGTTAGAACCATGAGGATGTTCCGCTAAAAGCTTCAGCAGAACTTGGACCCTTTTAACTCGACCCATTACCTCCTCCCCCTTGGCTGAGGGGGGAATAACCCATGTTTGGCACGGTTATATACACGAGGAGCACAGTTTGCTCGAAGGAACGGCTCATGGGAACAAAAAATGGGGGATTTGAGGCGTTAATGTGGGAAGATGGCTGCCAAATCCCCAAAGATAGCCCTACAAAACACGAGTTTGTCGAGGAAACAATTTGAGCTACTCTTCAGGTGTTTGGCAGCTGTTCTACTCTGTGAACGCTACCTGCAGGGCAGTAAGAGGAATACTGGATCCTTCCTACCAGAAATGATTCATTGCCTAATTCATATTCAGCGTTTTATGTGTTGACATCAGTCTGTGATATGAGTTCAGACAGTATGAGTGCACTGTGTATGTGTGTGGGTAGTAGGTGAGGGAAGTGAGGTTGACCCAGTGGCGAAAGGCCTGACATGACACAGAAAATAGTGCAATGTACAGAACACAATGCATCTTGGTAAATGTACAATGTACATCAAATACTATACAACCAGAATCCAGAATTAAAAAAGTAGAAACACAACAAAAAGAAAAAAACCTGTTCAAATGACAAAGTCCAGAAGCGTTCTTTGCCCAGAGGAGGAAACATCACACTGAAGCCATAGAAAGAAAGAAAGGTTTGTGTGACAGACGTTCTACATGTCCTACAGCTTTGCCTCTTGTGCTTCACATTACTAAAAGCCATGTTGCTATACCACATATTTACAGCTTTCTCCCACATTCCACTCGCGATCCAAAACCGTCCGTCCCTGAGTCCACTCATCCGTTTCTATCATCCATCGTCCTTCTTCATCTCAATATTACAGTAGTTCCCACTTCTTCTTTTACGCTTTTCCTTCATTTTCTCTCTCACCACGTCCATCTCTTTTACGTGCTGTATCCAGAGGCCTTCAGGTGCATGAGGTCTTTCTGTCCGCTCAACCTTCTCCAGCAGTTGTTGATCACAAACTAAACACAGAGAGAAAATGTGTCCGTCGGTTTTTGTTGGTGGTGTGCATGCACATGCATGGCCGCTCCTCCGTTTGCCTCTGGTCCTCCTTTGTCCCTCTCTCCCTCCTTCTGAAAAGAGTATGTCCCATATTTTCTCCTCACATCTCCTTTGTTGTGCTCCATCCTCCTCTGTCGCCCTGCTGCCTACTGTATGATGCTACTCAGGAACTAGGGAGGAGGATGGGGAAGAAGGGACTGTCCTCTTATCTTGTTTCCTCCATCTTTTTAAACTCATTCACTGTCCTTTTTCCCTTCGTCCATTCTCTCCCCCTCCTCCTCCACCTCCCCCCTCACACCCAGGAGTCTGGTGAGGCTGGATAGTGGCTGGTCTCGTAGTTGAGCTCACTGTAGGGCCGCGAGGCTGAGTAGAAGTCTACATAGTTGCCGGTGGACTTGAGGCCCTGCAGGTGCATGTTGAGTTCACCCTGCGGGGGGCGCCCTCCCACGTGAACCTGGTTCTCGTAGAAGGCCTGGTCCTCGTAGTTGCCGCTGTCGGGCGGCGGAGGGTTTTGGAAAGGAGGGTAGGGCTCTGATGGCAAGCCTTGACAAGAGACCTGCAAACACAGCAAAAATCTTAACTGAGAATAAAGCACTAAGCCCTCATGAAGTCAGGTACATCTGGTTTGCTCAACATGCTGAAAAAGTCGTTTTAATTTAGACAATATTACAATCGATTTAAGATGTTATGAAAAATCAGTGAGAAACTGACTTGAACTCTAGAATAATTGACTCTTCACACATGAGGAATAAAAACTTTATTACACTGTTTACTCAAACTAAAACTTAGTTTAGAGAGATTTAAAGACTAACGTTAGCATAGCACACAGCTCTCTATAAAGTCCCAACTTCAGCTGTGTGGCTACACTTATACAATATCTGTATAAATCTGAATGTAAGCGTGTGAGTGGCTAACACTAGCAAGACAGCTAAGAACACTTTACAACAAGTTACCAGGAGCCATATATCTTAAACCACTTTTCTCAGTCTTCTGTGATTGGAAACTAAATACCTGCAGGGTCATGGACATCATCTTAATCTCTGGGACACTGTGCCCCTACTTTTAATAATTTGTTGACAAAGCCTGACTGATTATTAATAATAAAAAACCTGATTAGTTTAGTTCATGTCTAGTCTTGTGTGTTTTGAGCACCTTGTGTTAAGTTAAACTTCACTCATGTCTACTCTCGTCGTGCACTTCCTGTTTTATTTTGTACTCACCTTTTCCCTCTCTTTTCAGACCCTGACTTCCTCCCTTTGTGTGATTTTCCCGCCTTGGTGATCGTCTTCCCCGCCCCTGATTGGTTTCACCTGTTTTCCCCTCCCTCATCTATAAATAGTCCTCGTCTCCCTTTGTCCTGTGCCACTTTGTCTTGGTCATTCCATGTGCGTTATGAGAGTTTCGCTTCTAAATCAAGTTTGTTTGCCTTTTCAAGTTTTTGCTCTTTTGTTTGACTGTGTGTTTTGTTACTTTTTTGATCCTCCACTAGAGCTTTTTGTTTGTGCACTTTTAGTCCTGAAATAAACCTTTTTGTTACATTCATCACCTGCTCTGAGTCGTGCATTTGAGTCCACCGGTATTCGTGTCTAAGGTCGTAACAGTCTTTACAACAATGCGTTTTGCTTTACAACAAGACTGACGCTCATGTCATGTCGAGTGTCAGTTAAACTGCTATGAAAGTGTCGTCTTATCTCTGACACCACCTCCAAAACCTTTACAAGCAAGAAAATAGAACCCAACGCTAGACACTGAGAGAAATCCACTGTCTTCCAATAATGTTTAAATGGGGCTCTATATATAAGTTTATAGTTTATAGTGACCTTTGCAGACTTAATAGTATCTTTATGGCATCACTATTAAAAACCATACAATACATATCAGACCTTTTAAGTCTCACTGTGGTATTTTATCTCTACTGCACCTGCTGTGAGGTTCCTGTACAGCAGTTCCTTCTCTTATCGTTTATATGAGTCGTAAAGAGGTGAAAAGAGCTTCATCAAGAGATAAATGCAAAGAAGAGCAAGAGAGTGAAAGAAGCTTCTTCTAGTCTGTCAGTGCTGTGGGTGTCCAGGTGTCTCTCCCTCAGAGAACCTGGCACACCTCACACATTTCTAACTTGTTACGTTATCACCAAAGCAAAGTTTACACCAGACAACCTTTTTTCTCGTGAACGGGAGTCTTGCATCGGACTATATATAACTGGGGGTAACACACTTCAAGAACTTTCACAAGGACAAACCTCCAACTGCTCCCCAAACTACATTTAATCATGAACAAACACAAGAACTTAAACAGTGAGTTTGACTGATTCTCCTGCTCTTCTGCGTCATCCTGCTCATAAAATCACGCTGGAGCAGGTGAAACATCAGTGGACATCACAGTGGTAGAATGAAAGAATGAAGATCGGCTCGGGAGAAATCTTTCCAAGCCTGAGCCGAACCCGACAGACATTCTGATGCAGTTAATAAAAGCTGCACTGAGGTTTTGTTACCCTGTCCCCCACATGAATGGTTACTGCTCGAGTTTCCCTGATTACACACATATGCCGAGTAAAAAATCAGGGGGCACATCACCGCATCTCAGTCTAGATTTCAAGCAGGATGGAAATCTGATCTGAGCCTGTGACCTGTCGACGAGGGCACACTTCATCTTTTCAAAGTTTGTTTGTGAACATCAAGCTCTAAGAAAGACATTTTGTGTTCCACTGTGTTTTACAGATATGCTTGGAATGACATAAATAAACATGAAATTTGATTAATACCTGATTATACTTCAGGTCATCAGTAGGCGACACGTACGCTCCTCTGTGTAGTGTTGAAGAGCCACCAGAGATTTGACCTGCAGAGACAGTGAGGACGACTTTAGATGAACAACTTATTCAGATGTAAAAGCATGAGTGGTTAGACTCTCAGTGTTGTACCTGCGGCTACACATTTTTCAGAACAAGAAAAACAGAAGAAATAATGATTAATGATAATTAAGGCGAGCTTTGGATTCATTGTTTCCAGCATGGTGAGTTGAGTGTATAAAAGTGTCTACAAGGATTAACACAATGAAACACTGAAACCTCCACAGAAGCAGCATTAAAGCAGCATATTGATCCGAATGTCACATTATAATGGACTTTATTTATATTGCCAGCAGCAACTATCCTTCCTTCATTAGTGAGGGACCTCTGATCACACACAATTGATTCCCAGTGAATGTTTAACTGAAACCATGAGGCGAACACTGACCTACATGTGTGACGGCGTAGTCAATAACATGATCAGGTGATAACCGGTTTCAAACCCGTTAGTTTGTTTGTTCTACTTTAAACATTGATTGTACAACCTTCCTCTAGAGAGTACTGCTGATTCATTTCACTGATAAAGGTGAACTTTGAAGAAAGAGTTTTGGAAACACATCCATGTTCTGACAGAAACAAACCTGACACTTCTTTCATTCTACCACCAGCAGCTAGTTGTGCAGAAACAAGAGGAAATATCTAGTCTGGGTCTGTGCAAACATTACAAAATTCAATCTATTGCTTCCTTTATGTTTGGAACTCAGTAGAAGATGTGTTAGTAGGTTGACTGTATTAACCCTATTTTATTTGCACAGAGCCAGACTGTTATCACCTGATTCCACCTAAGCTAACTGTCTCTGCCTCCAGCATCAGAACCAGTGTTGCTGTACTGATACAGGCTCACGTAGCCAGAGCTGTCCTCACACTGCTGTGTCAGATTGGAAGAAGAGTGGCTGCTCCCGTCATCATTTTACTATTCACTCTCTGGCTTGTCTGTATTTCTTGGATACAGTGACGGTGCCCCTGCAGACCAGAAGATTTGCATGTGGGGCGGTGAGCGTTAAACAGTGACAATCCAAGAAAACAAATTAGCCTATTTCCCCAAACCTCTTCGTATTATTTAATGTTTGTAAAACCAGTGTTTTGTTGAAATTTATTCCAAAGCGATCGACTCAGCAGAAAATATCAGATTCATGTGAGCGTGTCATTCGGTGTCAGACATGCAGCGTGGAATTCCTACTCGTCATGGCATCCTTCCGGGATGTGTGCTCGCCCTTGTTGCCATGGTAACTGGCATTGCCAGTCGTCTCATAGTCTGCCTTCCTCTCCTTCATGACCATCATCTCCCTTGGGGAAGCGGGCGCGCTTGCTGCACACACACAAGTAGTAAGGGAGACATAAGGCAGACGAGTCACTGTAAACTGTAAACAGATTTAGGTCCTTACAATGAGTAATACCTAGACTGCACAAACACACACACACACACACTAGAAAACAGGTAGGACAAGTATTCAGTCCTTTAACAGCAGGCGGCAAGACTGATTTGAAAATTGCACCTTTCTGAGTATTCACCTGCTTCACTCTCAACAAAGGCACAGCATCCTGAATCTTTGCTGCGTGTATTATTTCCTCTAACCATCAGTATTGTGACTCTGTGGGTGTGTGTGCCATTCTTTACAAAGCCTTATCTTTTTCACTGGGGTATGATTTGAAAGAGGTAAACACTGAGTCATCACCCCTCCCCGCATCTGCTTTAATCTTGCCTCTGTCTTCTCTTTCTCACATGACTGCACACAGGTTTCCCACCACCTGTATTTACTACGTATTTTCTCAATTTTAAACTCCCACTGGATTATTAAGGCCTGCCTGTGATGTTATTATACATGCAAAAATCCTCTGGTACCAAACGTGGACAAATATAGGTAAAATATACAGCACGCCCACAGTTGGGGGTGAATTTAATGATATATGAGGGTGGTGGGATCAGTGGTACAGCTAATGAGTTAGATCTGGTTAGCCATGTTGGAGGAAAACCAGACTATTGTATCAGTGCCATATGGTTCTGTGACATTTCCTCTAATATTTCCTCATTATCAACAGCTCTTCACATCCGAGCTGCTGGCCACGAAGCAGCCCGGCAGCCTGTTTGTGAGGCTGCATCTGTCTCTTTGTTTCGTCTCGGGTTCCCTGTACATTATAGCACAGTCAGCATGGATCCATACGCTCATTATTGCTCTGCTAATATCATCTATTGTAATATGTGCACCTACACGGCCAATTATCCTTTGCCAGCCGCTGCAGAAAACAGCTGTAGATATGTACACTGAGGACTTTTCACACAAAGGAACCCTTTTTTTTTCCATGAGAAAAAAAATGTCTACAGCAGTGAAATTCAACAAATGGCTCGGTGGACCATCTGTGACTGTTTTCCAACTTGTAAACTGAGAAACAAAATAAAAAAAGTGAAATTAGCCTCCAAACTACAGCATTTATCATTTTGCCACTGTCAGCTGACAGCATCATAAATCCACTTCTCTCCAGTGTGGGCTTTTAGCCACGCTAGCTTTATGGCTCTGAGGGAGGAAATGTTGGCTCTGCGGTCAGCCCACACTCTCCATCAGACTGAAATATTCTAACTACTGAATTAATTCACATTCGTTGTCAGCAGAGGATGAACCAAATCGATTTAGTGATCCAGTTATTTTTCTTCTAATGCCACCAGGCGGACGATACTTTTGGCTTTTTGAGAAAATTCTCAAAAAGCCAATACTGGGTGGATACAATAAATAGTTGGGTTTGATCATTCATGGATTCAAGTTGATGAATCTTAATGACTGCTGACTCATCACGTCAAAACTTTGGTTGAGTGATTGTTTTCTGGAACAATCTTTATGTCGCTATAGCAAAAACTCATCTGGAAAACGATTGGCTGGTGCACCATTCTGCCACTAACCAACCTGCCTACCTGTGCACACCCTGACCTTGCTCCCAGTATGCATCACAAGCTGGAGAGACATACACCGCTGAAGCAGACACGATGAAGTTAGTCACTGAAAACTCGGCTTCCAGCAGTTGTCAGTGAGTGTTGAAATATCTGAACATGTGCTTCAGCTGTACTTTGTGTTAAGTGTTACAATTAACAAAGGTTAACATGCAAATGTAGGACTGTGAACATGGTAAACATTACACATGTTAGCGTGGTCATATGACATGCCTGGGTTAGCATTGAGGTCAAAGCTCTCACTGAGCCACTAACACGGCTGTAGTCTCTTACATAAAAGATCATTTAGTGTCTTGTCTGATGATATATTTATTGCAGAACTGGTACTGAACCCCCTTTCAGACATGCATCTTGTGACATTAATGAGGAGGAACTTTTACTTGGACATCACAACAGCAATCATTGTTGTCACTGCATCCTGCCCAGAAGCAGAAATGTACATAGATTTACTGCACATCTTAAACCTGCATGCAAACATGCAAGAAAACGTGTATTATCAAGCTTAAAGTCAGGTTCAGCTCAGTGAACGGTGAAAGAGCCTCACATAATTAATTGAAGTGTCTTTCACGCAGGAGTGAGTAAGCAATGTGTTCACAGAGCTTGAGGGCAACACCAATCCACTCATTGTTCATTTCTTGTGGATTGCTTTTCCAATTTCACCTGAAATAGTAATAGGAAGGTTGACTACATGTTTTGTGTATCCTCAGTGCAAGGGATATTTTCAACTGGGAGAAAAATAAGAAAGTAATCATACGATTACCCTAAAACCTCTCTTTCTAGGCATTATAATGTTTTCTTTCTTTTAGGTCAACTCTTACATATAGAATCAATATGACACATGTCACTTTGTTACTGAACATTAAACCAAGGTGGAAAAGAAGATTTGGTTTGACTGCTATCTACAAAATATTGGGAATTAATTATGCAATATATTACTGTGGCTCTGGTGAGATGGAGTCAGCTATTGAAATATGTATAAGTGTGTTCCATTTCAAATGATGTGAGAAATAGAAGACGGTGCATAGAATGAGGACTATTAGGTAGCAGAGTGGGCTGAGATACATTTACAGTAACACAATGACTGACAGAGGTGAGAAAAACCTCATTGCTTTTGCTTGAACAACCGGTTGAGGGGTACACACTAATAGACTTTTTTTTAACATCGCCAGAACACGGCGTTTTGTTCAATATTTTCCTGGTTTCTTAGAGAATAAATTCAAGGATCTTGATGATAAAAATCAGTTCTAGTTAAGGGACAGATATTTACGTGTGTAATTTTGTGGAGATAGATAGATATCTGGATCTAGTGTTTTTAAATGTGGTTTCATTAGGGGACCTCTATAGCGATGGTAGGCACTATAGCTGTGTTCTTCAGGACTGAAGATGTCACCATGATGCTGAGAGAATACAGTGTTGACATGAGTTAATGTTATTATCTCAGAAGCTCTTTAAAGCCTATAACATCAAATCAAATAGTAGCGCTGTAGACCCACCAGGTACGGATAAACACTTGTTTCCTGACACAACAACCTGTTCCTGACTTTTGCGTCAAAGCAAACCTGAAAACTTAATTCTCCTTTTCTGCTTTTAAATGTTAAACGTGGACCTGTCATAGTTTTATTAGGCCTGGTTAATGTAAAGACTTCTGCATCACAAAGTAAAACATGCAGAGAGAAGTTATATGCACATCAGGTCAACCTTGTTATTAAGATCACTGTCACTAATGTATTACATTATCATCCACTGAAAAACTCCCTCTCTACACTAAATGTTCATTCATGCCAAATACATGGATGAAATGTTGAATATCCAGCTCTGTACTTTTCAAAGCATCTTGTCATTCAAAGCCTGAGCACTGCTGGACTTTATGAAATAAGCAGAAGAAATGATTAAGTTATGAAACTGATTTATTCGAGAATTCACCGTGAGAAGCACCAGGGAGCAGCTCGCAAACCCAGGATGGTTATTAAGTGAGATGTCATGTGCGAAATAAGGTTTTCATATTCTGTATTATTGACAGTGAATAATTTTGAAGAAAAGACTCAGCTGGTATCACATCTGTCTAAGTGATCCGATCACGTGTTCAGTGCCAGTTACAGGTGTGAATGGACCCGAATGCGTCCTGAGATCCGATCACTCAAACCACATTCACATGTGTTCTCGGACCCATGTGACCACATTGTTAATGTAAAATGTGTCCTGGTCCACATTTGAAGTGATTCCTCCTCTCTGACCATCTACAGTTTTAACACATTGTCCACACGTTGATTTGTTTGTAGCCACCGCCACCATATCAACACTGATCACCACATTATGAATTATACTTTTTTACACCACAGTTGCACAAGTTCATTCACCCCCTCCTGTTTCCTCTCTTATTCTCACTTGCTCGCTTACAGCGACACACACGGACACAAGCACAGGGACATCGAACACATCAGTAAACCCAGACTGGTTCAAAACAACATCAACTGCAAACAACAAAAGATGTTGTCATCACTTCACAAATACTGGGGCCTTGTAAGACTCGTATTAGTCAAACCTTGATTTCAACAACTGAAGGACATGAAGCTGTTTTAGGTGCAAGGATTTTACTTGAATCATTTATCAGTAGCTACCACAGTGTGAAGGTTAGAGAAGACTTAAGCTGCCTTGGCGTAGTTTGTACTGATGGAAAGAATTATGGAGGACAAAGGGAGAGGCGGACTCACCTGATCGATTGTTGGGTGAGGTCCGTACGGGAGAGATGGACGGAGTACGGGAGGAAGAGTAAGGTCGCTGTCTGTCTCTTTCTATCGTGGAGGAGGAGCCGACAAAGTGGTACTGAGAGTAGCCATCCTGAGAGAGAATAGCCTGTGTTAGACGTACTTACATGCCTCACAATTGTAGTAATTACTCAATAATATCTATTGAAACATGGACTAAAAAGAGATTTTCAGTGTTTATTCAGCCAGATCCCACTCAGCCATGTGTACCTTCTTGTAGAGGCTGCGGAGGTCTCTGTATTGCCACATGCTGTTCAGGACTTGAGATGCTGCTTTCACCACTTTAGGACTATGTCTAGGAATTCAGCAGAGAGAAAGAAAGAACACATACAGTATAAAGCTTGACCGTCCATCACAATGCATAATAATGAAGACAAAACTCTAAACCTGAATATAAAACATTCATAATTGCAACCACCATAGTGGAAAGACAAATGAAGATATGGCACTCAAATTGTTCTCAGACCAAATTGCATAATTGCTTGGCTGATTGATTGATTTGCCAATATTTCATTCTGCCTGCTTGAAGGTTTGACTCAGCTGACTAATGGCCACAGGTCTAATTGTCTCATATGGCCTTATCAGCACCTTGGAAATTAAACTTTATTTCTTCAAGTCATTTCGGTGAATGTTATTTTTATTATTACCAATCTGTGACTGCAAATCCTGCCTTTGCAGTGACGCAAAGCAGGGAACTTAAAAATGTTGTTTGAAGAACTGGAACATTTAAAAAAAAAAGAAATGACATGTTTATCTATGGATCTATGTTTTCTTGGCTCTCTGAAAACAACTCTAAAAACAACTCTAAACAAGAACAGAGATTTATTTAATTCTTATTTGATGCAACTTCTGGACGGAAGTAGAAAATATATTTCTCTAGATATGTAGTTAAAACCTGCATTTCCTTATATAAAACCTTATGCCATTGAAATTTATAACTTTTTAAGAAAATTGCTTTTTGCATTATTATCATTATTATCTTTCCGTTTTTTTGACTATGGGGATTCATATATCAACCGCAAATTACAATGTATTAAATTCTAATTTATTCATTACATTGGTTTCAAACTTTATTAGTACAGACAACAGACAGACAAAATAAACATTTCATTCCTATTGACTGTAAACAATCAAAATTGGGTTTTAAACAGGCAAGCTAAAATGGTTCCATGCTATGGAACTGCAATGTCCCTACTTTAAAACTTGCTGCACATCTCTTGTTATAGTCAACACTCCAGCTCGGTCCCTATGTCTCCTGTCTAACTCTTCACTCAACTGTTAAAACAAAAGTTAAAAAGAGTAGATTTGCTGAAACAGAGAGTGAAAATAACCACAGAGGAACTAACCGGTCAAACTTTCTGCTGCCTGTTTGACTGGTGACTCAGCTCTAAAACAAGCACTCAGCCTCTCTACACTACTCTCAACATCTATCTCCACCCTCCTGCTGCACGATGTCTCCACTCTATCACCAACGCAGAGAGGACCCCCCCCCCCCCCCTCCCTGTTAATATAAAGTTTTTAAATATAAAGGGCCCAGTCTATGGTAAAGAAAATCACAATGCATACAATTTAGATGAAACACACCAGTGTAAACATCACTAGGATTATTTTATATTCATTTTCTGCCAAAAATCCTTTTCACCTAAATCTTGCACACTGAACCTTTAAATCCTCCCCTTGGCCGATTCCTCGAATGACCTTCATTGTATTCATGCTTAAAAATGCTGATGATACACAATGCAACATCCTCTTCCACCAGCTTTTTAAGTGTTTATAACCTAATGTATCCTTTATAGAACACCATGCTGCCTGAGTCGTGTTAATATGCAAAGGAGTGCATCCTGCTATCAATATTCTGCATGTAGACATTCAAATGCACATGATCTTCAGTCCAGTTCTAGATTTTGAGATGATGTTCAGGGTTTTGTTTGTTTAAAGCACGATGAAGATGTTGATTTGCACCTTTTATGTTTGATTTAATGTCTGTGGCGTGTGAGGTTTATTTTGTATTATCTGTGCAACTAGAAATATGATTACATCTAATTACAGACCTTTTAACTTCTGATAGTTGCATTCTGAATCACTTTTATTTTAAATCCTGATTCTGTTTTGACCGAATTCAGCAACTCTTATGCAGCATTTTGTAAGATAAACCTGCGGCTCCTATCGTTTCTTGGTCAATGTCTTTTGAGGTTGACTGGTTATATAGTCTTTAGTCACATCTTACAAACGTGGTAAAATGAGTCAAGTTAACTCTGATATCAGTTTAAAACTTGTTCAATTATCAAAATGAAAGACAAATGCTATCCCATAATAACTCTACCTACAATCTGATCTTCTCACCCTCCTTCTACACACTCTGTTCTTCCATCTGTCAAAAACTTCCCACTCAGCTTACTTGTCTCCTTTGCTGCGGGCGATGCCGATGAGCTTCTCGATGCCGCCGGCGTCCCTCAGAGCCTTGGTGTTCTCCATGTTCTTGGTGATGACCTCATGCAGCGCGCAGCAGATAGCTGTGATGGTGTCGTCCGACATGGTCTTCCCCATCAGGCCGCTGTTGTTGGCGCCCCCTCCACCTCCTCCTCCAGTGCCGCTGCTGTTGTTGTTGTTGCTGCCTCCAGGCAAACGGTGCACCAGGTCCCTCATGGCGTATTTACCTGTGGGCAAGCGGGGGTGACAGAGTCAGCGAGGGGGGGGGGCGGTGGAGTAATGTAGGTTAAAAGGTTTTTTAAAAAGAAATAAGATGTGGAAAGAAAATGTAGCTTTTGTTATGCTCATTGTGATACCTGAGGTATGTGTTGTCTTATCAGTACCTTCATCTAACATGTCTGCCCATGAAGCTGATTGACTTAACAATTACTTTTCTGGCAAATGGAAAGACAGTTTGTTCTATTTTCTACTAAATCTTAATCACACACAAAAAAACAAGGGGCATTAAAAGTCTGTCATGTCCAACTTCAGTTCTGTTGCTTGGCAACAGCAATAAGGGTCGTACGAGCTGGTGATGCCAATCATGAGGTTGACTGGCATCAGTTCATTTCGGCATTCGCTGTCTATGTGGTCTACGTGGTCTACGTGGTGCACAAAGGAGGTGGTCTTCGTGGAGCAGGTAGACTGCATCCTCCAAGGCATGCAGCCCCTAAATTCAGACACAGATACAGTGGAAGTTTGGAAGTTTGGGACTGTGGGCTGGTAAATGAATGCATGTAAATCTTGTTTAAAAACTCACAGACTGATTCTACTAACTGGTTGATTTTATGTATGACATAACATGCAGAATATAAATAAAATGTTAAGTAACCTATCCCTGCTCCCACCTCCAACACAGACATACCTCCCTTCATATAAAACAAAAAGCTGACCCACATGCTGCTGTAGAAGTAAAATTACAGCCTGGCTGAGTGCTGGTCAGACAAATGATGGAGACATGGCCACGTGATCCAGCACCGACTGACCACATTTCCCATGACACCCCAAATCTGCTGTCAGGCAATCTTGTCTACTCTGCTCTGTGCCCCTCATTCTGATTGGGTCATCACCCTAGGGTTGTGGGGGTTGGGCCACACTGTGACACACTGACACCTCACATCAACACTACATATGTTTCCCTGCTGTAAAAATCCCACTGGTGTATGAAACATCTACTGCAGAGTAATTATATAAGAGCAACCTATGATATCGCTCTGCTGTAGCTATGCAGTTGTAGTGATGTACAGTATTTGTTGACAACTAGCTACTTCTCTGAGTGTTGGAGCTAAATTAAATGGTCTAACGGCATCAAAACGACAGCAGATGTGTTGCAAAACATGATTATATCTGTGTCTGTGATCCATTTAACTCAAACATTTGAAAACAAAAGTCTGGATAAAAGTGAAACAAGTTTGTGTATCAAAAAACAGAACATGCAGTAAGACGTTGGCCTCAGTCACTCAGTTATCTTAAGTGTTCAGACATGATAGCTGAAAAATGTTGAGACAATGGGGTCTGGACTTTTTCCAGTTTTTCTTTCACATATGAACAATGCAGAAAGAGATTCCCTGGTCAGACGCAATCACAACAACAGGACAATCTGAGGAAAAAAGCCCTGGAGTGTTGAGGTGAGGTGTGTCGTAGCGGGCAGGAAGCAGGACATAACGTATAAATTCTGCTGTGCACAATGACACCAGCGTCACCCTGCATCACCAGAAGCCTTGGATCCTCGTTTTCTTTCTACGTTGAAATCTTCTTCTCTTTTTCATCATAGAATATTTGTTTTCTTGTAGTTGTTTAACTTTTGCATCCGTCGCACTTTTCTAGTCTTGAATACCAGTAGTTTTTGCCATTCACCCAATCACACACATTGATATTGAGAAGAGAGAGAACACTTCTCCATGTGGAATGGAAGACTTGGATCAAACCACCAACCCTCTGGCTATTATCAGGAGAGTTCAGTACATGTCTGAAAGCAGCTCTAATGACCTTCTCTTTTTCAGCAATAAAAACAATTCTCACCAGATAAAAAAAAGTGTTTCAAACTAGCTTATTACAGTAAGTTATCAAACTTAATTGAACCACGTAAACAGCTATATTAACGATGGCCATAGAGTCACAGTATTGGCAATATTCACATACCAACTCTGAAAGTGAGTTTGTAACATTGCTGTAATAAACATCAGCTGCCTCACAGTGGACCCGTCTGTGCAGACAGTGTTAGTATCTGATGAAAGCTCTAAGGACGAAACTACATAATAAGCTGTGTCTCTAATGCAATTTGATCATGTTAACAAAACAAAAGTGAAGCCAAGACAACATGTCCAGTCAAACTACACTGCACATGCATGTCTTGTGGCAGTGCAATACTGTTATAACTGACATTACAACCTTACTTACACTACACACATGAATGGTTGCATTAATTTACAGACCGCATGCACAAACACAGTCGCACACATGCACACACACACGCCTAGCTTAGCTCAGAGCCCCAAGCATCAGACAGAGACAGTGGAGGAAGGCATGTGGTTGTTGCTATGGGGACCAACAGAAAAGCAGTGCTATCTGCTAAAAGAAAGAAACTATCTGCATACAGACGACCTATCAAATTGCCATTTGTCCCATTTCTTTTTTTACAGACACATCCACCAACCCACTGCGCCATTTGTATATGAATAATTCTGCAAGTGGGTCAAGATAATTGCTCTTGTTTTCAGTGGCATTACCTTCGATTGAGGCAGAATTAAGCACATTACTCCAGTAGTATCAAACAAATAACACTTAATAAATGTGCCCCAATAAAGATAATTTGCTCTTGAAAATTATGCAATAACTCCCCTGCAGACTATTTCTTGTGTTACCTTTCCATCAAGACTTTTTACAACTGTACCCCTTGTATGATTTTTTGTTTTCTATGAATTAACTACTCACCAATGAGCTCCTTGTTCCTGATGTCCAGAGCCATGTTCCTCAGCGCAGTGGCCACAGCACACACCACCCGGTCATTGTCTATCCTCAGCAGCTCCACTAAGATGGGTAGGCCCTTCTCCTTACGCACCGCAGCTCGGATATACACCGACCACTATAGAGGGAGACCACAGATGCACTGTTATTCAGGCACCTTCCTGTTTTCCTTATTGTGAAAAAGTGTCACAAAAAATAATTGTAAATATCATCTGATATCTGTATCATTGAGAAAGAACAACACATGGAGACCTATGGATGCAAAACATTTCTCTTAAAAAGAGCTTTCTTGAAAAACGTAAACATGATTAAGACTGACCTAAATGAATATTAGACCTACTATGTAATATTTTAACATATCTAAATAAGTCTGATTATTCAATTTCATTATTTTCATTATTATTTTGGGACTTTTTAAGAACCACTGGACACCCTGCATAGTCTACTACACATGATGAACTTGATGGTTGATTCAGCAGTCTGCAGATTAAAAAGAACCCTCAGCATAAGGTCTCGTGGTCTTTTACAGCAAATGGACTTGTTCAGTTGTCGTTGAGATGGTTTAGTTGTTGCTGATATTTTTATGGTTTAGTGTTTTCTCATGTAACCTACGTTTGCTGAGGCAGCCCCTGTGAGTGAGGTTTGCTATCACATAGCATACAACTTTTTGCTGTGCACTGAAATCTCTCTTTTCAAAACACCTTCTGGCACCTACTGGTATTTCAATGCACTTGTAAACATGCCCTTTAGTATCACAATGATCCAGCCACAGACCTGAGCTCTTACCTTCCAGCTGCCAGCAGCCAGGTTCTGCAGGGCCCCAGCTGCTCCCTCCAGGGTGTCTGGGTTGGAGCACTCAGACAGCAGTGTGAGGTAGGGCTTGACAATAGTGGGGTGCCATAACATCTGGATGCCTTTCGGGGGCTCCGCCAAGTCTGGAAATGGGCCGACACCGTCCCACTGCGGAAGATGGGACATAATTCAAGACAGAGAAGCACTTTGAATTCTGTGTGAGGCGAGGTTTGATAGTGGTGAGATGCCAGCAGTCCCCTCAGGCAAGAGCAGGAAAGGGGAGAGAAGATTTACTATTCATAAACAGTGTATAAATAAGCTGGCATTCATCTGTTTGTGCATGTTGTTTTTCTATCTCCTCTGTAATTTAAATCTGACATTTTCCCCTGCATTGATGATGCATTTGGAACACACACACACACACACCTATTGTACATTAACAACAACTGTGTTGGCTGTTGAATAGAAGTGATCTCTCAGTGAACCTGCAATATCATTCACACAGATCACTGATGATAGTGTGTGGATGAGTAAATACATTATGAAACATATAATTATTTATTTCCTTGCACACGACTATTGATTATTTTTTGTTTTAATACATTCCCCTTGTTTTTGCTTCCACAATTCTGCACTTTCAAATGCAACATAAGCAACATAAGTTCAGTGACTTATGTTGGCTGGCCAATGACTCAATATTATTGTCATTAACTTTCACAGGAATCACATTTAATGAAAACATGTTACTTTACACATTTCTGTGGTTGAAATTATTAATTCGGTCGAAGCTGAAGTTATTATGATGTGTCTATTAACAGTTGCATGATGGTAGATCACTGATTATTAATTAGACCTTTATAAAAAATTCAGGATACATTTTCCACAATGCGTTACAAATTGATAGCAAAAATACTTGTCAGACACACTTTGTCCTCATAACCTTTTGTTATGTCTCGTCAACTATGCTAAGTTTATTCATGTTCATGTTTTAAGTTATGTCATGCCTGTGTTTAGTTCATGTTAGTCATGTGTGTTTGGAGCACTCGGTGTTAAGTTAAACTTCACTCATGTCTAGTCTCAACGAGCACTTCCTGTTTTATTTTGGTACTCACCTTTTCCCTCTCATTTCAGACCCTGACTTCCTCCCTTTGTTTGATTTTCCCGCCTTCGTGATCGTCTTCCCCGCCCCTGATTGGTTTCACCTGCTTTCTCCTTCCTCATGTATAAATAGTCCTCGTCTCCCTTTGTCCTGTGCCAGTTCATCTTGTTCTGTCCTTAAGCGTTTAGAGAGTTACTTCCAAACCGATTTTGTGTGCCTATTCATGTTTTCGATCTTTTGTTTGATTCATAGTTTTGCTCGTGTTTTGTTTTCCTCCGTGAGAGCGGCTTTTGTTTATGCACCTTTTTTTGACTTTAAAATAAACCTTTTTGTTAAACTCACTAACTGCCTGAGTTGTGCATTTGAGTCCACCAGTATTCGTGTCTGAGGTCATTACACCTTTTTTGTACCTTTGGAAATGATGAAAGTAAAAACATACTTTATAAAAATAGCAATAGGGAAACATTAAGCTTGTCTTTGTCAACTAAGAAACATGCTATGTTCGACTGATGTACAGTCAGATATCAAATTATAACAAAAGATTTTCCTTCCTTGGCCTCAGTATGCAGCCAAGTGTACAGTATATTTCGGACCCTTTTACAGGATTCTACCAGAGAGGTTTACCAGAAAGGACATTTCCAACTACCTGATGAAGATAACATTAGCTCAAGTGAACAATTGGCAGTCTGATGGCTAGAAGCCTGGATTTCAAAACAAATGAGAAATGTTAATAAAGATCAACTCCAAACAAGAGTCCAGCTTTACTGTAGATACTAGCTATATGTTTCTGTTATGTCATGCTTTTCTTTTTACATATTATTGTCTTTGTTAAGCTATATATCTATATTTCAGTACACTTTATTCTGAACCCTTTGTATTGGTCGTTTGATGTCCTTCCCTTTTTTTGTCACTTTTTATTCAACACTTCTTCAGTATAGGAATTCATCTGTTACGGTTCTTTAATGATGCCATCACACTACATTGTTGGTGGCACTATTTATTAACTTTGTCTCATATCCTTCATAAGACTTGGTCCAATTGGGTAGACTGGTCTGCAGAGGAGTTCCTATCTGCATCACTGTTGCATTGTTGAGCTATTGCAATTACTGCAGTTTGGCTGCTTGTATAGCTAGCTTCGTAACTGGCACAATAAATCCCAGAACACACCCACTGGATTCCCAAACAGAAGGATGCATTTGATGGAGCCATTGTAATTGGACACTAGCTGTGCCGCTGTGACACAATCAGTCTTCAAATGTGCCTCTGAATGCTGCAGCCTCTAGGTTGCAACACACCTCTTCCTTTGACTAACTTCCTTTATTCTACTTCTTTCCCCTCTATCATCCTTTTGTAATTTCTATCCTGCACTTAAACACAATTTCCCTTACTCTCCCTTTATATATCCTCTCCTCTCCTCTAATTACCCCATGGTTGACAGAGTTTTGCTCTGCTCAAAAAGCTCCCCAATCGCTACTTCATGGTAATCACCCACAGCTGCACTGGAGTGGAGACAGATAGAGGGGGGAGAGGGTTGGTGGGGTTACGTATTATCGTTACAGAGAGGTTATGATTCGTCTCTTTATTTTCTGATCCCAGAGTTAAGATCTCTCATCCCTCTGGTTCTGCCTGGATACACAAGAAGTTTGTTGAGGCTTTACGTGACAAATGGAAGTTAAAGGCCTGGTTCATCGCTACTATTTTTGTTAAAACATCCATTCTCTGTCTTTGTTGGAAATGAAAGGAAGGAGAAAAATAGGTTGCAGGGCTAATGAGTAATTCACCCTGATCCACCGGAAGGGTTGGGTTTTTAATTCCCACAGCTTCACTAGAAGTTGTAAAAGACCTCTTCCACTCAACTAGAATGTGATGCTGATTGCTTATTAGCATGACAAGAGGCCTACTCCAAGGAAGCTGTTTAGTTTCTGCCAATTCTTCAACTAAAAGAGAGCTCATTTTCTTTACTAACGACAGGATGAAACTCTGCCTGTTGGCAACAGATGGACACACCCCGAAAATCCCGAAAGGGAAAATCAGCCTGGTACATCTGAGTCTGCGCACAGGTCGTGGCTGTACAAACATCAAAAATGGGTGTAATCTAAAGGTAAAGCCATAATCTCTCCATGCTGCTATATAATAACTCTGCAGCATGTACTGTATTTATGATGTCATAAAGATTAACATCTTATTCAAGACACATCATCAAGCATTT